AGAAAAAGTTAAAAACAAAAAAAGAAATCTCATAAACTTCGTTTTTTATTGTTTCAGATACTGATCATTTTTGAGAAAAAAATTTGTGGTGGAAAATTAGCGAGTTGGAGGTTGTAGAGGGTGGGACGGGTATATCTCTATTTTATTTAGTTTAATGATACACTTCCATCCCTAGTAATTCTTCGCAATCTATTTGACACATTCTAAACATCATAGATTCCCCTCACATAGCAACGTTTTGATGGAAAAGATGTTATAGTTATTAATTGGAAAGTCGAAAAATCAAAAAATTTGAAAGTTGAAAAATATTAAAATTGTAAAATTACAAAATTAAAATATCGGATTGGCTACACAACTCCACCCAATCCAAATTTTTCAATGGGTACTTGAGTAGAATAATAGTAATATATTTACCTCAGCCTCTTCACTAGTGTGGGGACTATAATCTTCATCTTCTGCATCAGAAATTACAGAAGATGATGGTGGTGTGCAGCATATATTAGGCGAAGTAAGAGATATGAACTGAAATGAATGACATATATCAGACATGTTTCATAAAGAATACATAATATTGCTTTACCGAGCTAGATTCACTTTGGTGGTCTGGATCTTCCACTATGCTCTCGTTATTCGAGGTAACGTTGTACTGAAAAAGGTTCAATAGAATAAAAAAGTTCACAGACTAGGCAGTGAATGATTATTACCTCAGAGTCCTTGCACAAGTTACTGCAATGAACATTTTCTGATAAACCGGATATTGATGATGATGGGGGTGTACAGCATATCTTGGGGGATGTAGAAGATATTACCTAGAATAAATCATAAATATGGGAACTCTACCAAAAAAAACATACTTATGTTTTACCGAGTTGCAGTCACTGTGGTCGCTGTTTTGTTTAACCACAGATGACACCTTACGTGAATCAGTAATCACTGTTTCAGAAGTCTTATCTTTTTCTTCATCTCTTGGATGCTGTGTGATAGGTGATAGACCTCTGTTACAAAACCAATTTTTGCTCATATTGAAAGGCTTTCCCTGGAAAAGTTCAAATATATTGTTTTGTAATTATTCCGTTTCAACTTAGAGAAATAATACCATTCCAAAAAATAATAGATATACAATATCGACTATCTTCAGGAAGAATACAACATGCTTGTTTTTAGTGAAAAGATATTTGATAAGAGTGCTCTCAAAAATGTCAAAAAGCCAATTATATTAGAGTAATTTTTGTCATTAGCTTTTTTCCCAATGAACTGACATCCACAAGCCATTTTTTTCCGTGCAGCAATAGTATATGTTGATTGTCAAAGTAAAATACTTTATTTTTAATTGATTCTAGTAGCAATACCAGTGAATGATGTTCGAAATTTTACCAAACTCAATAATACGTAATGTGTTATCATTAAACACTATATCCATGCATTAACACTAGAAATTTTTGAGTGTACAGATACAGGAAATAGGTATGATTTCCTGTTTTCTACGCAAATGTTTGATAAAGTCAGATATGTCAAATAGATCCGATAGAAAACCTTAGGAAATTACGATTCACTCCCTCATCAACTCCTAACCCTCAAAATTTATTTGGATAATGATCAAGAGCCCCTGAATCGTCAAAAAACAAAGTTTGAGCGATTTCTATTTTTTCGTTTGTGGCCCTTTTCTCTGACGCCACTGGACCTATTTTTAAAAGCTAAAGCTTTCTTGTCCATAGCCTCGTAGCAACCTTGTGTCTAAATTTCATCAAAGTCCCAATGGTACTTTCCACGTTATAGCAGAAATGAGTATCATGGTTTTCCGTGATCTACATGTCATATAGCATCCAACAAAACATAATACCTCACTTTCAAAATATCTTGCGATTACAATACTTCCTCGACCGTTGACGTGGGAAGTAAAACATGATATCTCTGATTTGCAATTTTAGATTTAGAATTTTATCACCCCGCTACTGTACCATATAGGAAATAATCAACACAATCTCCCGTTTAAAATTATCATTGTCTACATATAAAGTCGAGCTACTTGACACCGTGAGTCAAAAGCACAGTCTGTAGTGATTTTGTATTATAATGCAAAAAACGGAATCAGTACATATACAGGTATGTACCCTAAAAAAGATGTAAAGCAGCAGCTAGAAAAAAGCCAAAATGAGCTTTGATTGAAGTATTCTATTTTTAAATTTTCAGTGATGTATGGTCACACTCAATCTACTTGACCCTGTTCTTTAACTTGAAAAAAAAAACATTGTAGCTTTACATTCAAGAATCACCTATACAAAACTAAACCAACAAGATTAGATAAAGTTTGGCGTAAAATTTATGGGGGTTGACCTTTTGAACAGCATTGTTTTATCCTTCACGCTACTCAATATTCATTGCTTTTCCATTAAATGTAAGTAATACAGTCATATTACCATCATATCCTATTAACGATTGCATAAGAGTTCAAAAAGTCATACTTACCTCAACAGTCCTTTCAGACACACTCTTGAATACACAACAGATTTGAACGTCCTTCCAGCACGATTGGTGCCAATAAAATGAATTCTCAGATCTTAGACAAACCGACAAACCCTATCCCCGGGCGCACGCGCTTTATTGACTGGAATTAAAATGATCGGGAGACCGATCTGACGTCAGACGTACGCCATTCAGCTAGTTCGGGTATTGTGGAGGACTCAGCACTGGTTTGCGTATTGAAGAGTATTCTTCATGGGAGATTGATCCACCAGTGTTTAGTTAATTCGAGTATTTTGGGAGACTCAGTGCTGGTTTCTTGTGAATCGTATGGTAGAAGAGTATTCTGCATGGAAGACCGATCTAGCAGTGTTTAGTAAATTCAAGTATTTTGGGAGACTCAGTGCTGGTTTCTTGTGAATCGTAGGGTAGAAGTGTATTTATTCTGCACGGAAGACCGATCTAGCAGGGTTTAGTAAATTCAAGTATTTTGGGAGACTCAGTGCTGTTTTTTTGTGAATCCGAAGGTATTTTGATGGACGATTGTATCATATGGCTTTTGGTTGGCGTGACTATATGGTTAAGTCTGAGCTATTAGAGAAAATCGTTGATATACGATTTTATTTCAAGATTAGGAATATTCTCATAGATAGATGGTACCAAACATGAATGGTGATTTCCTTATCCAAAGATAACGTCACATGATTGTAAGGCTCAGTATAGTGATTAGGTAATTCAAGTATTTTAGGATACTCAATGCTGTTTTTTGCGAACCGGAGGGCAGGGAAGTATTTCAACTGCTAATATCACAGATTTGGAAATTACGCGTCTAAAGCTTATCATCATTAGGATGTCGTCGATACGACATAGGCTATTGGAAAAGCAAAGTGCTCGATCTGAAAGTTCATACAACCTCCTGGACATGTAATAGAAAAAAGTATTCTTGATTGTGTGGGCTGCTCGATGATCTGATAATTTTTGCATAGGTAAGTTATAATTTACGAAACGTTGGGCATCCTTCTGTCGTATGCTAGCAACGTTTTGTATAGTCTTAATCGAGCAAATAGTGTACTCAAAGTTGCTGGAAAGAATTTTGGTTATATCCATTGGAGATCCTTGAAAAATAATATAATAATACAAGTCCAAGTTAGGAGACTTCAGTAGTATTATGTAAAGAGAAATAAATGAAACTTGGCACCACTGCACGGATGACTTATCTACTGGTGTTTAGTTAATTTGAGTATTCTGGGGGACCGAATGCCGTTTTGTGATCTGAAGGGTATTCCGGTAGAGGACACATCTTACGGTTTTTAAAAGGTAGACCTATATAGCGGACTTTATATGAAAATCCGAAATGTTAATGTACAGTTTTTTGAGCTGATCCTGGATCAGTTTGCCTTTTTGTTGGATATACACGAATCAAATTTGATATATATTCGATATTTCTGGTAGGTGACTTATTGCTGGGAATTGAAAGGATTACCGATCCACATGGAGATGTAAATATATATATATATATATATATATATATATATATATTACAATGTTTCCGAGATTCCTTCTCATTTTCAGTCATTGTTGGGTGTGGATTAAAACACTGGATTCCACAAAAAGAAATGCACTAATTTATTTAACTCGATAGATAGAACATTTATGTACACCACTATTTATGTCCGACTAATTCCTATGTCGCGCCACTGGCTGAACTATACTCCACTCTGCTCTACTCTACCCTACTACCATCTACCGGCCGTTCCTATATAGTCCGCATCACAGGTACTCGTCGAGTCGAGAAGATTCCGGCGAGCCATAAAGCGGCAGTCTAGAATATGCGAGATCACTTCGCGTCGATCTAGAAGGTGAGTCACTGGCACGGTCCTCAACAGATGTCGCCACCGAAGGAGAATCGCTGGCACGGTCCCCAACAGAGATCGGCCATGAAGCAGCTGGCGAGTAGGAGTCTGACGGGGTCCCCAACAGATGGCGCCAACGGTACTATTCATTCTTGTTACAATATACTTGTTTTATATAGTATGATATGCGGAGGTCGAAGATTCATTGTACATAAGTGAACCTACCTAATCACGATTCGTTTTCGCCTGTCGAAACGATTTTGTTTTCTATTAAACTTTCAACGAAGGCGTAGGAAGTATACAGTCAATCTACTTAACGCCATTTTATACAACCCTCAACCGACGCCGTAAAAAGTATAAACGCATCGTCACTCGTCATCCAGAACGGTCACATATCACCTTCCACTTCAGAGTATAACCACAGCCTAAGGATATGATGGCATTATAGAAACAGGTCTGAAGAGCAAAGTTGATTTACAATAACTAAGTTATGGACAGTCGATGCGAAATAAGTTTAAAATTATGAGGTCTTATCTGGGATTTTTATAGAGTAGATTAAAAAATTACCTTGAATTTCTAAACTAATCCACGTTTTTCTTCGCAGCTAGCGCGATTAACCGGACGGCGGGTTAAAGCCGAATCATGCCCTGAGTGATCTGACATCTGAAAAGGTAATGAAATACACACCTGAGAAGATTTTCTTTCTTCTTTTCTTTCTGTGGCACGTAGGTTTTTGATAGGATTCCACCTTCTTCGAGATCTACTCGCTTTTCTGGTACCGTTCCAATCTCATTTCCTTCATTGATCGATTGCCTGGTTGCCAAATTCCCATTTAGATTCTCAAAGTTCAATGGAGAAGTCCCAGCATCAACCTAGTCGGGAAAAAATGAATGTAAGATAAGGTAATATATTCGAACAATATCATGTTTAAATACCAAATGTATTTGGTTTTTCTTGAAATGAATAGCGATAACTCAAAAATATTGGTAAGAATGTTTTATAAACCTCACACCAAAAAAAAGTTCAGCAAAAAACCCATTAGAAATTAACGTTCCATTAAAATTTTTTGAGAAAATATTCATTTTGCGTTTTGACGTTGACCTCCTTTCCCCAACTACCGCTGCCTACCGCACAACGTGGCAACTCCCGACCAGACGGAAGACGATCGTGAAGGGCAGCCGCCATAACGAAGAACGACGAAGCCGACGGAGCGTCGACACACGCCGCCAGTGATGCCAGGTCTACGGATTCGTCCCTAGTTCTAGGGACAATCAACAAAAAGCTATTTAGTTTTTTATATTATACTTGTTTTTTCCTTACTACACAATTCGCAGTGGTTTAGGTTGGCTGTACTGGTTGATATTTAAAAGCGAGGAATTACCAGCGTCCACGAATCTGGCAAAGCTGGGATCTGGGAATTACCGCATCAGTACGCGTAACGCAGAGATCCCGAGATATATTCAATCAGAATATGCACACGACTATTCGCGATCAGGCTTGAGTTCATTCGTCTCGTTCGGAGTTTCATTTGTTTCCTGTTAAATTTCATTGCGGACGTGTACGACTTAGGTTTAGTCGAGTGAATTCAATTTTGATTAATTAGGGAATTTAAAATGGATACTAATTCCGAGTCAGAGACATCGGAATCGAATGAAAGGTAACAAATGTTATCATAACACCGCAATTACGCAATCGTTATATATTCAAGAAGTCAAAATCACGCAAAAGAGCTGCAACGCCGGTAAAGGAATTGAAAGCCCGACATGACATGGAGAAAAAACAAAAAATATATGAACAGAAATTTAAAGAAGAATGTTTACAACTTCCACAGTTCGTAGGCTGGTTGAAAAAAAACATCCTTTTGATAACTTTCTTTGTTTGTGTACAGTGTGCGATGCTCAGTTAAGATGCGGTAAATCTAAATTAGAGTAACATGCAGTCAGAGACAAACATAAGCAAAACTTAACGTTAAAAAAGAAACGTATCAGAAGCAGAAATAAAGTTGTCACCTTTTTTTGCGCATCATAACTTGGCATTTCAAGTGGTGGAACATCTTGTGCCTGTTTTAAAAGAATGCTTCTCAGATTCTGATATAGTGAAAGATTTTAAATTAGGACTTTCTAAAGTTGTTCATATAGTGAAAAATGTGATTGGCAAAAAAGAAACAAACGACTTGGCTTTAATTTTAAAAAACTTTTATGTATCAATGTAAAATATGTTAATTCTAATGGTACAATATGCGATGCAATTGCTTATTGATACAAAAAATGCTAACGCTGAAAACTTATTTACTGCATTAAAAAACTGTTTGGAATCAAAGTACATACCACTGAAAAATATAATTGGTTTTGCCTCTGATAATGGTAGGCATGGGTAGGGTTGATACTCATTTATGACAAGGCTACAAGCAGAAACTGATGCTTTAGTTGTAATGCGATGCATTTGTCATTCATCTACATTAGTAGCAAGTAATGCATGCTCTAAACTACCTTGAACTCCCGAAGAATTAATTAAAAACAATGCAAGTCATTTTTCGAGCTCTGCAAAAAGAACAGCAGAACTTGCAGAAATGCAAGATTTTTCTAAATGGAACAAAGAAAAATGCTTAAATTATCTACAACAAGATGATTAAGTATGCAGCACGATATTAACAGAATTTTGGAAAATTGGCAAGTGTTAAATAGCCATTTTCAATTAGCTAAAATAGAAGAAAACTCAAAATATGTTAATATGATTTGAGAGGATTTCAATAATAGCGTCAACAAGGCAATTTTACTGTTTCTCAACTATTTTCTTAATTTGTTTAATACTTTTAATGCGCTGTTACAAAGTAAAAAAAACTGTAAAAAATCTTCAAGCAGGTCATTTCTCATTTTATTTTACCGGAATATGTTAATGACTCAAAAATTAATTGCAAAAATCCCAGAAACTGTGTTGACTTAAACCAAAAGACCTCGGACAAGAATGCAATTCCTTTATTTTAAACCTACCAGAAGAGATTCAGATTGCTATCTGGAAGTACTGTCTGGAATTTATGATTTCAACAGTAACAAATATGGAAGATAGATTTCCACTCACTGATACGTTTTTTTATCTAAATAAACTCATAGTAGGAAAGCACTTGTGAAAAACGTTTAAAAAAATTAAGTGAGGCGCAGTTCAAATAAATTTTCGGTTGAGGTACTATCAACTGGCTATTTCTGTACAGTGTCCAACTTTTTGATATGAAACTTAGGGGGTGTTGATATTAACAAAGTCAAAAGTCTGGTCCTGGACCTTTTAATTTTTTAAATTACGCCTTATCACTTCTAATATTCTGCAAAATCTAACTGAAATCGCTTCACTTTCACCATTATCTGAAATATTGAATTTTATAGTTATGGCTTACTAAAATTATCCTCTATATTCGTAAAAAAAGAATTTAGAACTTTTTTATTTACAGATATGAAGAGTTCTCGGTCATAACTGTTTCGCTAACCCGGGTAACCCAGTATGTGTGTGTTCTGCAGAGAATTATTTTCTACCTTCCAAAAGGCAAAACATCTTATTTATAAGGGTAGGTCATCTGGTAACAAGGCTAGCGCCAGGCCGAATTATTCTGTGCTGGATGCAGTGCCCAATAAAAGACCCGCGGCACAGGGGTTAATATGTACGGCTCTACGCTTTGGTACCGACGAAGACACCCAGCCGGCCGCTTGAAAAGCAATAAACTCTGTTGTCGCAAATCCGACGTTGCTTTATGTGGCCATCGCTAATATCTGTGTTTTGAAGAGCAGAGGGTTGGATTAGGGATGTCCTATGGTTTAATGCAGGGTTTAATAACTGAAATGTCACCTAGCAGATTAAAAGTCTGTTTGCCCCGTGATGGATTCCCTTAAGTGCAGCAACAACTGCCAAAATAAGGATTAAGTTGTAAATGAAATATGTATTTAGGTGAATGATCTTCATGTGCCTGTTTCTGAAAGAAGGCTTCTCAACATAGCAAATTGGGTAAGTAACTTTACATATTTGTCATTGCTACCATTAGATATACATGTACATATGTATATTTTAGTTAATAGTCTGAATTTTTAACTAATGTCAGGATAATTAATTACAATAACAATCAACGTTACTTCAACAACTTGATTCAGTCATATCTCGTCTCATCCTTGAAAGAGGAAATGTTTGAAAAATTTTTATGACTATCGGCAAAAAATGTAAACTTGTAAACGAATACAATATCGTAGTCTACTTTAAGAGATAACTTAATTGACATCATTTTTTCTCAAGTCAAACTTACCAATTCTTTTGGCTTTACAATCGGTGTGGCTTGCACGGCTTCATCACCTGAAGATGTGTCATTATCTCTTTCATGATGCTGCACAAGCAGGCGACTTTCATCGTAAATTGAATGGTTTTTATTCATTTTACGAACTACCTCTTCAGATTCGGACGAGTCGCTTTCATCCGCTTTATGCATTCTCTTTGTTGTCCTTTTAGATTTCGCATCATCACGATCTAAAAGGTTGTGTTCTATTAGGAGATATTCTAAGCAATGGAATTAAAGAAATTAAAGAGTGACTCCAATGAATTATAATTTAAATAAACAAAAAAACACACTTTAATAGCAAATCGAACAAATAAGTAGAAAATAATTTTCTAGTGTAGTTGAGTTTCTGTTACTGCCATAGAAAGTATGACTAATTTCTAATATGATCAATATATAAATTAAGATATTCACCAACATTTCAATTACAGGAAAAAATATTCGGGTGCTTGATATTAAATGTTCAGGTTGATAACACCTCTTGGAATTGGTGAAAATTAGATTTAATAAAGACTCCGTACCATACATACAGGTCAAGCTAATTGATAAAAGCGTGTTAAAAAGCTGCTTTTGCGCATTACGTTTCGAGAATAAACCTAAACCAAAAGGGACATTTTTTTTGTCTTTGAAAATACTCCAAAATTACGCGGCTAACAACTCTGAAGTTTTCAAAGTTCGACGCATTCTCGCAAAAAGTGTTCAAACTTTGATGGAAAACTTCAGTCATTAGATTTTGGGGTCATTTCAAGGAAAGTTTTTCAATATTTACAAAAAAAATTACTTGGTTTTTTATAATGATTAATTTATTGTCAGGAAATCCTCGTTACGTTCATTTTCAAGGTCAGAATCCAATGTGCAAAAATAGGCGAATTTTGGGGTCACTTTTTTTATTGTTTAGCAATTTTTAATTTACAAAGTATATTTATATCGGAAAACATTCATAATCTAAAGCACAAGTAATTTTTTGTTTATATCTGACAAAAAAATGCTAATATTAGTAATACTTACGGTACAATTCCTTATTTTCAGTTCGTCGACTCCTTTTATAATTTTCCCGATCTGAATCTGATAAATGACAACCATAGTGCCTTCCAAACCACCTGTTCCTTTGGTCTTTTCTACACTTCAATGCCTCTTTATCATCATGTTTTCTTTTATGCTTGGGTTTACGTCGTTTACGATCATCAAACTTTGAATCAGAGCCGCTGATTCGATATTTCCCTTTTCTTTCCTCGTGATGCAAAACGTCTCTTTTAGATTTTATTTTTGAATGTTTATGTTTTATCACTCGTTGTTCGGACAAGGACGAGACATACGATTCAGATTCTTCGTCAGATTCGGAGAAAAAGCTTCGCTTATTGAACTTTCGATTTTTTTCACCTTTTTTCGACAATGGTCTACATTCTATAAAGTCTTCTTCTGAATCAGAGCTTTCTGAAGATGTCGTCACGTACATTATTTTTATTTTGTTTTTCTTATCGTCGCCACGCTTCTTTTTGTGCCGACTTTCAAATTCGGAACCACTTTCTTCTGAGATATATTTTTTTTGGTGTTTGTTCTTAGATATTAGCGACAAATCGTAACCACAACACCTGGGATCTTCTTTCATTCTTTTAGGTTCTGATTCCAGTTCCAAATCACTGTCTATCGTCCTTTGTCTTGTCTGCAAATCCTTCTTGATCTGATCGTCTTTTTCATGGATTTCAACTTGATTCTGCTGATTCTGGTCCACGTCGTCAGGACGTGGATGATCTCTAGCTGGGAAAAGATTAGTTTTCGGGGATTCTGCAATCGGGTCTTCATTTTGCGGTTCAGCAACAATCTCGTTTTCATCTAGGTTGCTTAAGCTGTCGGCAAAAGTGACACTTTTTCTTATCCTTGGTGTATCTTTATTCAATATCAATAGACTTTTGGTTGGAGTAACTGCCTCCACAGCATTCTTAGGAGAAGTAACTCTACCTGGTTCCTCCATCTCTATGTTTTTCTTATGAACACATACACTGACATTTATTTCATTAGGAGTCGCTGGAATTTCCTTGCCTATCTCTAAATATTTTCCTTGTTCCACATTTTCATTTATTTGCATATAACTGTTTCGAACTTGTTTCTTTCTACTTGAATCCCTCAGTTGCTCTGAACATTCATTTGTTTCAGGAGTTTCTGTAGTTGCTTTATTCTCCAATTCTTTTACTTGCACATGCGCTGATTTCTCTTCCTCTAAATTTGTCACTCCTTCATGTATCAAACTGTTTACACTTCCTTCCTGCACAGTTCTCTTGGGCGGTCTGCCCCTTTTTCTTTTTGCTATTCCGTTTTCACTCGCAATTCTCTGGCTTGTTCCGCAATCTAGACTGTCGTAAATTTTTGTAGACACCTCATATCTTTTTGAAATTGCCTGATAGCTGATATCAACTCTATTTGGCGATATTATTTTCGAGCCTTCTCCCATCAAAGATGTTTTCGTTGGAGTGCTTCTGATTGTTTGGAATGGTCTCCCTCTCTTCTTTTTTGTAATGGAATCGTCACCTTTTTGTCTTCCTCTTTTTGTAGATACATGTTGATCCTCATTTTGTTCACTCCGCATATGTGAGCCGCCTTTGCTTGGTACTAGATCCTCAGTTCTTCCAGAATCTTTCCTTTCACTTTTCTTCATCTGCAAAGTTTCCTCTGGGCCTCCAGGCGGCTCGTTTTGAATCCCCCGTTTCACATTCCTTTTTGCTTCACAATTTTTTTCACATCCTGAAATACGTTTTTGATCTGACCCTACTTTATTATCCGTACTTGGTTTATGGTCTGATTTGCTTCTTGGCATACTCTTTCTTAGTGATGCCCTTTTTGTCTTTTTCCCACAATCCACACCTGTTGGCTCTGTGTCTGCATCTTCAATTACAGAATCTTTGATAGATCTACCTTCATTCTCAATCTTTGACTTATGATCTTGACTACTGGAAGAGTCTTGAGTAGTTTCGCCGTTTTCTTCTATTAATTTTCTAATATTAGCCTTTAGACTCTGTAAGTCTGCAAGTTCAGCCTCTGTTGGTTTATTGCCATCATCCATATGTAGTTCTTTAAAGAGTTTAGATTTCTCCTGACTATTGGATCTTCTCTTAGACCGAGTTTCAATGGAATGTAACAGTTTATTTTCAACATTTTGTTGTTGAAGTACCGTCTGTTTCTTCTTTGTCCTTGGGGGAGGCAGTGGAACCGCATCATCTTCTGGATTACAGTATTGACGTGCTGTAATTGTATAAATAAAAATCTTGATTAGATAAAAATAGAATTTGGACAATCAGGGAAAGACAAAACAACAAATCTATCAGTGATTAATTAGGAATGCACTGTTCAGAAAATTAAAATTTGTTAATACTTAGAAGACTAAAAGAAAGGATATTTTAAAAAAATGGGATCAAATAGTATTCAAAAATCATTAATATGTTCTGAAATAACTACAAGACCAAGAAACATCAAGAAATAAAGTCGACACTTTTTTAGTTCTTTGAATCCTAAACTTAGAATTCAACACTATTTGAAGATTAGATTTATTGGATCTTACAGAAAAGTGAAGGCATCTATGACTTACCATTTTGACTGATATGAGTGTGAGCATTTTCTTGGTTACTGCAATTAAGAGCACCATCGGCAGAATGTTCTGGATAACATTTTGATGTTGAAGCAACCTGAAAATTATACATTTTTATTTGTCGATTATAATCGGACATTTTAAATGCAACTCAATCAAAGTCCTATTCTCGATGATTCTCTGGCTGAATCAAACCACACATATTTAAAATTCCTCTATATTGTACGTAATTTCAGCCCCAACAGTGACCTTCTTCAAAGTACAATTGACACTTATTTGTTAAAAAAGGAGGAATTTCAAACATGTGTGCTTTGTTTTGGCCAGATAAACATGGGGGATTTTATCAATATGAAAACTACAGGATAAGTTTGAATGTTACATTAAAAATATTCATATATTCATTTGTAAAAAGGTTCAAATGTTGGTTTTTACTCTATGTTTAATCAAAAGTTGTTTATAGTAAATAATATCAAATATACATGATCTATAATTACTTAATAATAAGAATTGTTGGTTCTAAAGTATATTCTAAGAACAACATACTGCATTATCTGGCTTGTTATGTTGCCTAAGAGATGTATTGTTCGAATCTACCTCTTCCTCTTGAGTCTGTGAGGTTAAACTGCTAATTACAATTACCTCTCCACTATGTTTCTTAGTAAGATTGCTTGGTGGTTTATTTTTATCAACTTTGTCACTTTTATCATCACCGTCAGTACCTACATAAAAAAATCGTTTAATATAAAAAATGTTTCTGGCAAAAATGAAAAAATGGAATGAATGCTTCATTTTGATAAAAAAATGCTACAATGTATATTTTAGCCTGTTGTTCATGGCCAACTTCATAGTAAGAATAGACCAATAACATGGATAAAATAGTGATATGAAAATTGCTTCATCTAAAATATTGGGAAGAATCAAGAATTTAGTATATATAATATATACAGTGTTTGTCCGGAAAGTAATAGGACTGAGTCGATTTAAAAAAAATGTATTGAGCCAATCGTTACAATTCTTTAAAAACTTTCGAAATAGGCTCCTTCTGCGTCGATGCAGCGCGATTTCCAAGCATTGAAGGCGTCACGGAAGGCATTCTCCGGAATAGCCTTGAGAGCCGCGGTGCATGCTGCTTGGATCCCCACTGTCGTCTCAAAATGCTTGCCTTTCATCGGCCTTTTCAGGCGGCGAAACAAAAAAAAGCCCGGGGGGGCACATCTGGGCTGTAGAGCGGCTGAGGAAGCGTTGGGATGCCGGCCTTGGTCAGGTAGCTGTTCACGAGAAAGGCGGTGTGAACCGTGGCGTTTTCGTGGTGCAACTTCCAGTCGGCTGCGATGTCTTTTCGGACCCGACTGACCCTTCGTTTGAGTCTCCTGAGCACTTCCACGTAAAACTTGACATTGACGGTTTGTCCAGGAGGAACAAATTCATGGTGGGCGATGCCTTTGATGTCAAAAAAGACAATGAGCATCGTTTTCACTTTGGATTTGCTCATTCTTCCCTTTTTGGGCGAGGAGACGCCGTCGTGTGCCACTCGGAAGATTGCCTCTTTGTCTCGGGATCATACTCAAAGATCCACGACTCGTCACCTGTGATTACGTTATTCAAAAATTGGGGGTCACTTTCACACATGTTCAAATTTTCTTGGCACACTTCCACTCGCCGCAATTTCAGGTCGTCAGTGAGCACTTTTGGGACCATCTTCACGCACACCTTGCGCATGTTCAAATGCTGTGTCACAATGTCATGAACCACAGATTTTGGTAAATTTAACATCTGGGCAATTAAACGAATACTTAGTCAACGGTCTGAGTTCAAAACTTTGCACGCACGAGTCACATTATCGGTGTTTGTCGAAGTCGAAGGTCTTCCAGCACGGTCTTCATCAGCGACCTCTTCCCGGCCCTCCAAAAAGGCCTGGTGCCACCGAAACACACCACTTCTTGCTAAAGCAACACCTGGGTAAGCCTGCTTGATCATATCAAACGTCTCTATCGCAGATTTACCGAGTTTCACACAGAACTTAATCGCGTACCTCTGCTCTAGCGAATGCTGCATTTTCGGCTTGCACCACTCACAGAAACACGTCGCGCGAAAATGCCTGTCCTGACTCTCCAAGTGCTCGGAGACAACTGACCAGCCGCTCATTCGTTAGCTAAGAACGCCCTCTACCGAATCCAGTCGGTGCGCGCACGCTCCAAAGTACAGTCATGGCGGAAGAAAATGAGTCCTACTACTTTCCGGACAAACCCTGTATAATGAATTTACAAGAATACAAAATGCAATTGAAAAGATTAAAATAGATAGGACACTGATAAATTTACATCACATTACACAGCATTTGAAACCACAAATTCATTTATGTTTATTTTAGGATCTACAATTCATTTCAAGAAGAGTATTGATAAAGGACCCGGTAACACGCCTATGGGCAAAATGGTTTTGGTTAATTACGCTGAACTTTTTATATGTTTTGGGTATCAGCATCTTGAGCAAATGTTATATCCTATAGCCAACAGTGACAATTCCTATAAACCATGTTATAAAAAAGTCAGAAGAGAGTACAACCTATTGTTAACTAATGCCCGACATAAGTCATATCAAAGACATATACATACAAGAGTCAGATAATAAATCAAAATGCGTGTGGAGTATTGTAAACGAAATAAAAGGTCAAAATAGAGATGATTGTGTTATACCAGCTGATCCTGAAGTTATAGTCACCAGTACATAACTCTTCTGACTTTTTAGACTATGCCGCTAGAACTACTAGAACCGCGCAAAAGACTTGCTTACTTTCTTACTTTGCAAAGCTTTTTGAATTAGTGATGTATGCAAGAATTATGCATCATATGGTTTACAATAACTTAATTGCATAGTTGTAAAAGGGAATTCCATCAACAAGGCGACCTATTCTTTGAGCCATATCATAGAATGCCTTGAAAATAATATGATATCACTGGGCCTATCTCTTGAAGCTTATGATTATGAATGTGTGGATCATTCTCTTCTATTAAATAAACTCGAGGCATATGGGATAAGGGGAAGTGCTTGCAACTGGATTAAGTCTTACCTGACAGATTGTAAGCAAAGGGTTTCCATTACAAAGAATAGAATATCAGTTTCATAACAGTTAATGGTAGAAAGAGGTATTCCACAAGGTAGCGTCTTAGGACCTCTCTTTTTGATTTTTGTGAATGACCTGAGTGCTAGAATTAAAAGCATGCACGATCCAATATGCTGATGACACTAGTGTACTGGCCTCTGGACAAGATTTCAACCATTTAGCTGGAAGTACTTTGAGCCTCTACGAGAAAGTGTTTTTGTGGTTTGCTCGTAATGGAACATCCCTGAATACCTCAAAAACAAATGCGATTGTTTTTAAGCTAAGAAAAAAAAATCGCAACTACAAACCATTTTAGCCGAAAGAATAGAAGTCCCACTGACAGACTGTGGGAAACTCCTGGGGATTTATATTGACCAAGCACTTTCTTGGGCTAAACATATAGAACATCTAGGAAAAGGGTTAAACAACGCATGCTACAGCATATTAGAGTACTGGTTAAGTACCTAGACCATAATAGATTAAAAATGGTATACTTCGCGAATTTTGAACCCATTGCAGGTTTTGGCATATTTTTTTTCGGACATAGTAGCCAATCCAATAAGATCTTTCTAGTGCAGAAGCGGGTGCTAAGGAGATACTAATTTTTACATTTAAAAACATTGACAATTTTATCAGTAAACAAAGAAGTGACTGTAACAGAAGAAATAGAAATATAAATCTTCTGTATCCAGTCCATTATCTCATGGTTACAGACAAAAATGCCCATTACAGCTGCACTAGAATGTATAATAAGTTACCACAAGAAATTAAAAGGTTGTCGATATAAAAGAATATAAAAAGAGTATTCATCAATTATTAATGCATATGTTATATGTTTATCTCTTTGTTTTTGGGTTTGGTGCCACGCCTTTTTTTGGTTAATTAATAAAACACAATGATAAATGCTATCTAACGGTTGGTCCAAGCAAAACAGTTGTCTGGTGGCGTGCAAATTTAGGCTCAATAAAGCGGAGAGTAGTGGCGGGTTAAGAGCGCCAGTGACTTAGGACGGATTAAGCCACAACTCCCTGAGATGTTAGTCGGAACTTGTTTTGCTTGACCACCACACAAAGAATCTAACAGAGATGACGAAATTTAAGTAACAGTACACACAGAGAGAGCCAAATAAACAAGATAGCAAATGGATCACAATATACTGAAAAAGAACAAAACGCACATGTGCTCCACCACTGGAGTGCGAGAAAAAAAAAACTGTCGCAAAATAAAATTAGTTGGCGTTTACCATGGTATGCGCTTTACACATATGTTTTACGCCTAAACTACACTTATCTGGGCGGAGGTCTTCTATCCCAGGTCAAAAAGAACAAAAAAAAAAAGAAGTCAGTAGTGGGCACTTCACTGGGCAGGGGCTGCTTGCCTCGGTCCCAAAAATTATGATGGTAAGAGGAAAAAAAACCTAGAGAGAGAAAGACTGTTTAAAAATCTACTCTACTCTCTGTCTGAGATAAAACTACTCATTGAAAACAATCGCACTTAAAGCAAAAACCATGTACATTTTTTCGTATAAGAAAAATAAAACAAAGGCAAAAAAAAGATTAAAATGTACTAATCTAATATACCCGTGTTCTAAAAAGTTATGGCAGCTCAAAAATCAAAATCATGATCAATGTAATAGAAGGTGCCATGTAGGCATTGCTCTAAGAATTTCAATAAGCAATACTAAATGTATAAAGATCTATGAAATTGTTAATTAGAATATTTTACCTGTTCACATCAGGGTTTTTTCACGGGGATGGCTTCCAATTTGCAAAACTGCAACGATGCAATTGAATAGGGGAGAAAAGACGAGGATTTTCTTCTGTTTCTATTGACAAAAAGAAAGCAGATATTGAATGAACGTCATCAGGACACGCAATAAGGCACGCGGTCCGAAAGTATATAAAAAAAGGAACTTACCGCTGAGGGTCAAAATCCCATAAAAAATGGAAGACGTAGCACCCAAAATAACTAAACTTAAGTGACACAACAAAAAGAAAAGGGTGCTAGTCCATGAATGGGCGTTTGGGGCCTAATATTCCAGAATCTGGAGAACAACAAAAAGACCCCTGCACCACGACCTCAACGGAAGCTGAAAAGCGAATCACAGAATACGTAACGTTCTAGAGGAAGGAATCTTGAGTGGCCTTGAAGAAGATATGTTTTATAGGAAGCCAACTAACAGAAAGAGTGCAGAGTTTTTTCCTGATCGTCAACACCATACTGAATCGCTGAGAAAGAAAGATATAATATGAGTGAAATTACACAATCAATACGAGTAAACTATTAAATTTGCAAAAAGAAAATCATTGAAAAGGGGTTTGGCCGAGGAATGGCACTCTATTATCAATTAGGAGAAATTCAAATTACTGATAAGTGATAAATAGAAAAAAAAAGGTTACGTGATTTTGGCACATGACATTGTTTCACTTGTTTGTTTTTTCTGTCTCGATGACACTGAGACTTATATTTCACCTAACAGTGTGTAATACACAGTAATCATGCACTGTTATTTTGAAATAAATATTTATTATTATTATCTGCTCTGTTTAGATAAGTGGTTTCAGTTAATTTGACTGAATCTGTAATATGCCGCATGTCTTGACGTGTTGAATCAATGTATCGATAGACACAACGCCTGAACCTCAACGGATGCCAAGAAAGCAGGTCAGTTTAGGGGGTAATGGTTCTATTCAGACAACTTGTCATGATAATCCTTTCTCTCATCATTGGTTACAGTTTTTCATTGCATAACTTCAACGTTTACCATCAGGCATTTGTTCAGATTGCTGATACACATAACATAAAAAATTAACCAAAACCACTCTTCCACTTAAGGCAGATATGCAAGTAGAGCTGATACCCCATTATATGGACTTAGTCAGACTATATCTTGGAATCCGTTGAGGATGTGAGCCTGTGTCCAGGGGAACATTTGTTTGGGGTGCCAAGACGCATGACAAAAAATTCAGCAAAATTAACTGAAACCACTTTTCCCATAGGTGTGTTGCTGGGTCCTTTGCGTAATTAAATAAAATTTACTGGTGCATTAGTAATTAACTGAAAATGACTTCCTTGTACAGTGGACCCCCGATAATCCGGCGCCCCCTGTAATCCGACATGTCTTTGAATATGTATTACATACATACGTATTTGACAATCTACGCTAATGTAGATCACGCAGGTTTGAACAGGTTACAACTTGTACGCGCCACCGCTATCGTACTCGACGCGTAAGCATTGTTTTACTTAGTTTGAATTTGACTACTGGTGATAGCGGTACGACCTAGCGTGCGTTCATTGTTTACTATTTCTTCATTGTGAATTAAGTATAGTACCTAGTAACGTCATCACAAACTCGGAAGCGAAAGCACCATTGACAATTAAAGAAAAATGTGTGTCGAAATGAAACTTTCAGTAGTTTAGCAAGTGAATACGGCGTAGGCCGACCTACAATTTATGACATTAAAAGAAACCACCAGAAGAAGTTCGTGTCAACTACTGACTGTGGGCCAGGCAAGAGACAGACACTCAAGAAAGCTGAACATCCAGAAGTGGAAGAAGCTTTGTACATGTGGTTTCTTCAGGAAAGAAATAGGCATGCACCAATTTCAGGACCCATGTTGGCCATGAAAGCTAAGTTTTTTTATAAGGAAATAACAAAAAAAGATGATTTTGTGGCCAGCAAAGGATGACTAGAACGTTTTAAAAGTCATCATGGCATATGTTTAATGATTATTACAGGAGAGAAACTTTCTAACGATGCCACCTGCATAGAGCCCTTTAAATTAAGATTTTTGCAAAAGGTGAACGATTTAAATCTTGACCCCTCACAGGTGTATAATGCAGACAAATCAGGGCTTTTTTGACACAGATAAGTCCGGAAGATTTGGAAATGTGGTGCCGTGGAATGGATAAAGAGGAAAATGTTTTTCATGAAATGTCTGCCGAAGAGATTATAAAAGAGGTTTCTAATTATACAATAAACAATCAGGAAAATAACGACGACGTGATTGCAACTGCTCCACAAGTCACAGCACAAGTCTTGGTTTACAATGGGCTAAAGAGAATGGTACATCCTACAATGAACTTTTACTTTTGAGAAGACTGAGGAACAAAGCTCTGATCTCGCGTTATAACAACCTAAAACAAAAAAAAATTGATGAATATTTCCAAGCTTCATAATTTCATAAATTCATTAATGATTTTGATTTTTCGATAGTCTGACACTGCCCTGCATAATGTTTGTCAGATTACCGGAGGTCCACTGTAATCACAATTTAAAGTATAAATGTGAATGCCTGTCCAGTCTGTCAGCATCATGACTGAACCACAATCTAGAGATATGTCAAAAAATTTTACACTAACTAATTGAAACCAGAGGAAGTTTATACATATGGTTTTATCTGCAACAATATACAGCTATTGATAAATCAAAGTATCTTGAAAAATAGTTCTCTAAATGGAAACCTCTATTTCTGACACCAGAAGTAAAAGTCAAATGCATTTTTATATTTCAATAAGAAATATCTAGTTTTAATTCCTGAAATTAAAATTGCTGACAATTCATTCTAAGATTAAATAATTTTCAATTAAACTGCTCACTTTTTAGCTGAGGATAAAAAAATAAAAAAACAAAACACTGAAATTAATTTAAAAAAATGTTGGATATAAAATGTCAATTGCCAACTAGACTACAAACTTGCAGTACATGTTGCATTACTTTGAAAGCAATCTCCTTTATACTATATCTTACCATTGAAAGAGGTTATGGGTGAAACTCCATCAGTAAATATTTCTGGTTTGTGTTTTGGTGCAACTGGGGTGCTGCTGTAGATGTTTTGTAATGCTCTAGCTACCACTGATCTACGGATTTGTGGTACCTCTACAGGGGCTGCAAAAAGCTTTGAAGGCTCTTTATATTTACTATTTCCTCGTCCCTATTCAAAAAAAAATATTTATACTTAATAAGGATTGGCCAGATTTCGGTATTTTGATTGAATATTGTTGAATTAAAAGATGCAAGAGTAATCTATTTATTTACAGCATTAGATAAAAACATTCATAAACTTAGGAATGCCCAGTTTTTAATGTTTAGATTGAATATTGTTGAAAGAAAATATGTAAGAGTAGTTTATTTAATCATAACATTAGACAACAAGCAACCATGAAAAAATTAATCTTACCACCAGTTTTTCAATTTGTTTATCTAGTTCAGTACTGTCCAAACTTTGATCTGTTTCCACTAAACGCAAATAGCTGCTCCTTGGTCTGAAAAATAGGTCAAACAGGCAGTAGTAGCAGTTCCATATGACAAAAAAACTAAATAAAATAAATGATTTGAGAAAATCAAGTCACAAACACTTAAAATTTAATGTATATCTTGTGGATAGGGTTAAAAAGTCATTGTCTTATCCTATCTAGTGTCAACCACTTCTAACTGAAGTTTTTTTTTCGCGTTATTCATACTACAGCAGGGTTTTTTGTGTTATCAAAGATGCTTACCTTTGATAATGAGCCATTATTCGTCAGCAAAACAAAAACGATTAATATCTAAAAAATTCCAGCTGACCAAGCACTCCTAACCAAAGTTCGGTAGCGAATCTGCCTCGAATATTAAACTATCACTACAAGCATTGCTAGTATATACGTGTTATGTTACAAAATGGTTCAGATGCCCATGGAATATTAATATCCAAAAATTACAACTGAAAAATATTTTATAAAATTTGTTTGACGGTTAGCGTTCTTTTACAAATGGGAAATGGCGGCGATTTAAAAATGCAGATGACACTGTTGACAGGTTTGGCAGCTTTGACAGTTATAATCCCCAATTTTAGCTTTTCAAACGTCTATATAATGCAGGTTCCACACGAAGCTTCCAGCGTTGTATACAACATTCGACACCGCACAATTGGCAAGTGTGTCTGTCTTCTGCTCTCATTTACCGCAAGCGACTTGCTGCTCTAGAGATGAAGCTACTCCGGATCGCCACCAGTGCACCATCCTACGTAAGAAACTCAACCTTGCGTAGAGACCTGCATTGGGACACCATTCACGAGTACATGAGGAAAAAAGCGGAGAAGACCTTCCAGAAAGCTCAGGATCACCCGAACGAGCAGCTACGATTCCTCATGGACTACGATCCGGACGAGAGGCCTCGCAACCGCAGAACCAGGTACCCTAGACCAAGGTCCCAGTTGGCACCCGCTAACTGGAACCTTGACTAGGAGACTAGGAGAACCCGCGGTTGCTCCCCCCCCACCCACGGCGTGGATGCAGAGGACCAGGAACCACCGGGACCAGGACCCACCAGGACCAGGACCCTTCAGGACCCGGACCAGGAACAATATATAGGTAAGAGGACTTGAAACTCTTGATTTTTCGAAAACAAGAGTTTCAAGAGAACCTAGCAGACCCTCTATCGATGATCGCTTAACGACATCGATAGAATGTGCGAGGTAAAGGGAACCAACCCGGCGTTCCCAGAGACTGAAACACATGAGGAGACGTTGTAGCAGACCGCAGGTCACGCACAACACATGGCCTACCGAGACGCTGATGAGTCGGGCCACGCGGAGGTTAGGGTTTAGTGGGTATTAGGTGGTCTCCTCAAGACAACCTGGAGTCCCACACACGCCGTAGCTCGGGCTATGGTATGGTGCGTAAACGCATTCCCCCTCACCAAAAAAAAAAAATAATTCTGCTCTCCTACATCATGTGATGAATTTTTTTAGTCTCGGACGTTGGACGCATGGGTGAACTGGCAACACCAAGGTCACCCTTTTCAGGCAAAATCGAGGTAACTGTATTACCGGCATCTCGTGACGTGCGCTGGCCGGGATTCAGGGTTGCCAGGCGTGCAGATTTTTCGCCAAAGTGGCGATTTGACGGCTTCAAATGGATAGCTTGGCGATTGGCTACTTTAACGGCGCCCAGTATCCAGCAAACTGGCGATATCAGGAGATTTTTAACATTTCTGACGCCAATTAATTTGTAATCAATTTTTGCTGATATGTGTATACAGGGAAAATCAAATTTGTCTGACTGCTAGAGTTCAATTTGTATGAGAGAGAAGCGAGAGAAGTGTGTATCGACACGTTAGAGAGAGAGATAGAAGTCGGCTGAAGAGCGATGGCCTAGCAACGGCGACGCAGAAGCTTTTGCGTTGCTAAAATTTTAAGCCAGAAAATGTTTGCACAGGCTTCTACATAATAGGTTAGGTTACTGTCAAACCCAAGAAGGAGCCCTACTCGAAGCAGAGCGACATTCCTCAATGAGCGCTAGATGGGTACTGACCAAAATCGCTCGTCTATGATCATTGAGATGGAAACCTTGCCTTGGAGTGTACAAGATCCGTAGAGAGTAAACTAACGCATGTTCTCAACATGCATCTTAACTCAAGGAACTGGTGTAACATAATGGCAACGAGGCGCAGATTGCCGCGTCAGCGTTGATAGGCAATGCGGTGATAACCTTCGCTATCCAGCCGGCTTCTATCTTTTTCTAACATATGTGTCTATACTATAGACACTTCTCTCGAGCACATGAACTCAAGCCGTCAGACTAATTTGGTTTTCAGTAGAGATTAATGAAACATCAAACGAAGACCAGTGGCAGTTCTGTTCTCTAAGCACAATGACGCTTATGGTCAAATGTCATATCAAGGTGTCGTGTGATCCGAGCATATCAACGACATTCCATCCTAGCACTTTTGACAGTCTTGCTTGATGTACGATTATTATACAATTTTTGTACGATAACCGGGAGAGGAGAGAGAACCAGCCCCCTACGGTTCACTGAGGAAAGGTAAACACGCAGAAAATTGTTGTATCCCCGTTCGTCAATTTGCAATAGTCGGTAACCCTCCTCCCCGTTTTCCTGTTGTCACAATATCACAAGAACATTCGCCAGCAGTCCCGCCATCTCTGGATCCGCCCACCTGTAAACGAACTTCGTTTCGTTAATATTACACGTGTCTAACAACCCCCCATCCTCACTCTCCGCTATTCAATGGATCCTTGGAGTATTATTATGCCTAACCCCCCTCATCGTCACTCTTCAGTAGTTATCGTCAACAGGCAGGCTACTTAGGCGCTTAGGCCAGTCACCTCCGCGGGCGACAAATCCATTCCAATCTCTAACCTGTTAGTTTTATGGTTAGACTCCTACTCAATTTGGATTGGCGATTTTCTGATCAAAACTTGATTACCAACGTGACTGTAAACCTGGCAACCCTGCCGGGATTCTCTATCTTTAACTTATCTGAATGTAAAAATATCAAATATGGCGTTTATTTTGGTTAATAATTAATATCTAGATTATCAACGCTGATGCTTTTGGAGATATTTCGTAAAAAATGAGCATAACATATAAAACAACACTATCAGTACCTGTAATATTATACGTGAAATGTATTGTGACCATTGTGAGAGATGTAGATACAGGTAGGCTGTGAACTTAACATATCGGCATGATATATTTGGTAGATTATTTATTTAAAATTGCGTTTTTTTTTTTTTTTGGTGAGGGGGAATGCGTTTACGCACCATACCATAGCCCGAGCTACGGCGTGTGTGGGACTCCAGGTTGTCTTGAGGAGACCACCTAATAACCACTAAACCCTAACCTCCGCGTGGCCCGACTCATCAGCGTCTCGGTAGGCCATGTATGGTGCGTGACCTGCGGTATGCTACAACGTCTCCTCATGTGTTTCAGTCAGTCTCTGGGAACGCCGGGTTGGTTCCCTTTACCTCGCACATTCTATCGATGTCGTCAAGCGATCATTGATAGAGGGTCTGCTAGGTTCTCTTGAAACTCTTGTTTTCGAAAAATCAAGAGTTTCAAGTCCTCTTACCTATATATTGTTCCTGGTCCTGGTCCTGAAGGGTCCTGGTCCTGGTGGGTCCTGGTCGTGGCGGGTCCTGGTCCTGGTTGGTCCTGGTCCCGGTGGTTCCTGGTCCTCTGCATCCACGCCGTGGGGGGGGAGCAACCGCGGGTTCTCCTAGTCTCCTAGTCAAGGTTCCAGTTAGCGGGTGCCAACTGGGACCTTGGTCTAGGGTACCTGGCTCTGCGGTTGCGAGGCCTCTAGTCCGGATCGTAGTCCATGAGGAATCGTAGCTGCTCGTTCGGGTGGTCCTCAGCTTTCTGGAAGGTCTTCTCCGCTTTTTCCTCATGTACTCGTGAATGGTGTCCCAATGCAGGTCTCTACGCAAGGTTGAGTTTCTTACCTAGGATGGTGCACTGGTGGCGATCCGGAGTAGCTTCATCTCTAGAGCAGCAAGTCGCTTGCGGTAGCTGGGGGCAGCGTACCCCCAGACCGCGGACGCGTAAGCGAGCTGAGGTCTGGCGATGGCCTTGATCAGCCGTAGCTTGGTCGCTAGCGGCATCCGGCTGTGTCTACCCAGTAATGAGTAGAGTTGAGCCATGGCTGCTCTGGTCTTTGCGATGACAGCTTCTATGTGGGCTTTCCAGGTGAGGGACTTGTCAAATACGATCCCCAGATATTTGACTTTGTCGCTCCACTGGATATCTTCGTCGAAAATGGATGCTTCGAGAGGTCTTGCAATCCCTCTTCGTTGGATGAAGATTGCCTGCGTCTTCTGGACGTTGATGCGGATTTTCCATTTCACGCACCAGTCCTGGATGTGGTCCAGTTCATCCTGTAGTCTCCTACGGATGATCTCGGGTCGTCGATGCTTGGCGGCTATAGCAGTGTCGTCTGCATATAGGGCCAGCATTGTGTCAGCTGTCTTCGGTACGTCGTGAGTATAGATGTTGTAGAGCAGGGGGGCTAAGGCTGACCCCTGGGGCACGCCTGCTTCCAGCTGTCGTCTTGTTGAGTGGCATGTACCAATCTTCACCGTGAACCATCTTTGTGTTAGATAGCTCTGGATCAGTTGGCACATGTTTGCATCGATTCCGGAGGCTTCCATTTTGGCGATGAGTCCATCGTGCCAAACTCGATCGAAGGCTCGTTCCACGTCCAGCAGGACGAGGCCGGTTGCCTCCTGGAGATTGAAACCGCTGGTGATGTTTTCTGTCAGTCGTAGCGCTTGGAGTTCCGTGTTGTGGGAGGATCTGAAGCCGAATTGCTCTGGGGGGAGAAGTTGCAGTTCTTCTGCCTGCTTCTCTAGTCGAGCGGCGATAGCCTTTTCGACTACTTTGCCCATCGAGGAAACCAGGCTGACGGGCCGGTAGTTCTGAGGCAACTTCCGGTCCTTGCCTGGCTTGGTGAGCATTATAACCTGGGCTTCCCGCCACCGCCGCGGGAAGTGGTTAAGTCTCAGAGTGGCATTGGCGATCCTGTTGTTGATGCCGTTTCTTCCCGGCGCCTTTCTGACCTTCAACCTGCGGATGATCAGACAGATTTCCTCTGGACTGGAGGGGTGATCAGTCTCCTGGCCAGGTGGTCGACTCCTCATGATTTCGGCTGCGACTTCCACGGCCTCCTCGTGGTTGTCGTCCTCGTCTTCATGGTAATTGAGTCTGCATTCGGATTCTAGCGAATCGGCGAATGCTTCGGCTTTTTCTTCACTGGAGTAGGCCAAGCCGCGTTGGCCGTGAAGAGTGGGGGTCGTGGTGCGCTGACGACGAAATTTTCGCTGCATAGTCCAGGCCGTACCATCCTGGGTCTCTAGTTCTGCACAGGCTGCATTCCATCTGCTGTTTTGGAGTTCCGCGAGTGCGTTCTTCAGAGCTAGCGATGCTCTGTTTCGCGCAACTCTCAATTCCTCTGTCAACAGCTGGAGATGTTCTCGCTTGAGTTTTCTGTTCTCCCTGATCAGGTGCCTAATATGGTGCGGTGCTGGACCATTTAGGTGTCTAGGAACTGTCGTAGTCTCGGAGCGGATGCTGTCCTCGTGCGCTCGCAGGACAGCATTCTCCAGCTCCTCTACTGTGTTGTCCAGTTCCTCCGCTGATCGGATGGTTGGAATTTGAGTGATGTTCCTTTGGACGTTGGATTTGTACAGGTTCCAGTTCGTCCGTTTGATGCTCAAGCTATCTCGAGCTCTAGACCCTGTGCCAAGTGTTAGTAGGATCGGATTGTGGTCCGACGATCCTTCCACCAGGGTCTCTATCTCGAATTCCTCTCTGATGTTGCGGACGATGGCTATGTCCAGTACCGCAGGTCGCCCAAGGCCGAATGGAATGTAGGTTGGTTGCTCCGGACCGACGATCACCCCCGCCAGGGCATCGACGTGTTCTTGGAGCTGCCTTGCATTCCTGTCTTCGGCGTTGTTGTTCCATGCCGGAGACTTGCAGTTTAGATCTCCGATGACTATGCGTACTCCTGGGCCTCTCAGGAGGTCAGCGATGTCATCTTCGTCTAGGGCCTCCCCTGGTGGCACATATAGGGAGGTGATTCTGTAGGGACGGTGGTTGTGATGGACCTGGACCGTGATTCCGTCCCCATTGATGTCTGCAGCATCGTCGAGGACATGACTCGTCAAGGTACGTTTGACGAGTAATGCGACTCCTCCACCTCTGCCTCTTCTGTCGTAGCGGTACGTCTCGTACCGAGGGAACGTCAGACTATGGGCAGCATCCAATTTCGTTTCTTGGATGGCCATCACCTCTGGTTGGTACTGGTCTAGTATCTCCTGGATTTCTGGTTTTCGTGCCCTGAATCCGTTGATGTTCCAGTAGATAATGCGTAGAGATTCTACGTTTTGCCCTGTAGTCATTTCGGGTCTAATGCTTGTCTTGCATCTTGGCCTCGAGTGCATCCAGGCGGGTTATGATGGCTTGCATCATTGCTAGCAGTCTGTCATCGCCGTGTTGCTTCTGCGCAGTAGTTCCAGTAGCAGTGGCGGCTGCTGGGGCAGAAGTGGGCATAGGTTTCTTCGCTTTTTGAGCGTAAGAGGTCCTATTTGTGGTGGGGACTGCTTTGGGGGCAGCAGCAGCTTTCCTCGGGGCCTTACTACATCCTTTGTAGTTCCCCTTGTTGTTTATCATCCTGCTTAAGGATGACCAGTCAGCGGTGCCCTCGATATTGATTGGAGGAACTCCTGTTCCTGCCATGGGGGCCTCGGTGGTCCTGGTTGCTCTAGGACCTCTCTTCTTGGTGGCAGCTGGCATCTTTGGCTGCCTTGACGATTCTTCTTCCTCTTCGGAGGAGGAAACTCTCACTCGTTTTCTCCTCCTGGTGACGACACTGAAGTCTGCGTCATCGGTCTTCTTCTCGGCTTCTTCTTCGATTTCTTGGGCATCCATGTCCCTGTTTCCCGTAGGCTGCTGGTCCTCGTCTCCCTGGTCCTCACCTTCTTCTTCTTCTTCTGTCTTCTTCGCCTTGAGGAGCTTCCCCCTCACTTCCTCTATCTCCTGCCTCGCCTGCTTGAATGCTTCTTGCAGATTTTTCATCTGCTCTGCAAGCATGGCGAAATTATCCTCCTTCTGCTTCAGCTGGCTCGTCAGCTTTTCTATTCTCGCCATCGTGGATAGCGATCGTATCGTGATGAAAATCACAATAAGATCGCACTGTAGGTCCGGGTGGGTCGCAGTCGTACAAGTGTACACTCGCGACGGCTGCTAGCTCGGAACTGACGGGATGAAAATTGCATATCTGGATTCAGCCTCTTTATAATCCTTGTAGTTGGCACCGTTGTATAAGTATGAAAGGCCAACAAATTGAAGGGATAGAACTGAGAAAACTAATGAAAAGTGACTAGCTTATTTACATGAATTTGAAATAAATCTCTAACCTGTTAGTTTTATGGTTAGACTCCTACTCAATTTGGATTGGCGATTTTCTGATCAAAACTTGATTACCAACGTGACTGTAAACCTGCCAACACTGCCGGGATTCTCTATCTTTAACTTATCTGAATGTAAAAATATCAAATATGGCGTTTGTTTTGGTTAATATCTAGATTATCAACGCTGATGCTTTTGGAGATATTTCGTAAAAAATGAGCATAACATATAAAACAACACTATCAGTACCTGTAATAGTATACGTGAAATGTATTGTGACCATTGTGAGAGATGTAGATACAGGTAGGCTGTGAACTTAACATATCGGCATGATGTATTTGGTAGATTTATTTAAAATTGCATGTCTGGATTCAGCCTCTTTATAATCCTTGTAGTTGGCACCGTTGTATAAGTATGAAAGGCCAACAAATTGAAGGAATAGAACTGAGAAAACTAATGAAAAGTGACTAGCTTATTTACATGAATTTGAAATAAATCTATCTATATTTTCATATAATCCAATTTCTATACCATCGTTAACACCATATGAATATTTTTTGAAATTAAATAAATTTGGTGCTTCATAATTATTATGCTGAACCTTTTCTCAGTAAAATTGCTGAAAGAGATATTATATAACGAAATCCCCGGCAGCCCGGCACATTCCTAGGATTCCTTATTCCAGGAGCATTCTCGGCATTCTTTCGATAGTTCCTCCAGATCTCCAGGCAAGTAGGCGGCGCAACCATCTGACAAAACGTCAATGGTGTTGCCATTTTTTAACGTGCAGCTGCCACCTCTTCAGTCTTATGTGTTTTGTGGGGTCGGGCTTGAACCGTTACAACTGAAGGAAAAATTATAAAAAAATGGACGATGAAACAATTTTTTCGAGCGCCCAAAAATAATTTCAGATCGGTCTTCAGCGACCAAAACTTAAGTCTATCAGAAGCCTCCGAAATGTCAAAAAACGAAGCTTGACCGTTTTTTGTTCGTTTTTCGACAATAACTCCGAAGCCACTGTACCGATTTTCAAATACTGCAGAGCTTTTTCATTTTCATAGTAGTTACCTAGGGTCAAAATTTCATCAAAATCATGACAGTACTTAAGTTATCATTTATTTAATCGTTTTCGTTAGTTATGAAATGCAAGTCAATATATTTCTCATCTAGCCTTGCGTTGCAACAGGACATTATAATGAAACAACTGTAAGCACTTGATAATTCATAATTTACTGAAATAAATATCGTTAAGTCAGCCATAACTCACCTGCGAAACGTACAAAATATTAGCAATATGAAAAAAGTGTTATGGCAGCCTATATGGTTTGTAGTTTTAGTTCATTCTCCTCAAAAGTTAGTTACGGAACATCATTATTATGAATATGTAGGTATTAAAATCAAAATACTTCCCACATACCACTACTTCACCACAATCACAGCAAACAAATAAATAATAATTGTCGCCGCTACTGATTCTGACCTAAAACCATCAAACACATGACATCTCGTGTGGCAGCGTAACGAACCATGATTCCAAAATCCAAATTTACCGACAAGAGCTCCAACGTGCCATGTGGTGAACGTTGGACACATGCAATCCGTCAGCGCTCTCCCACACTATTATCAAATTCAAGCGGATAACCAAATGGAAATGGTATTTACCATTTTGGGTTGGTATTTACCAATCCGTTCAAGCGAGTGTAGTTATCAGTTTGGTTATAAGATCCGTGACGTCACGAATCAGCTGTTATGTGTCACAGTTATCATCGCAAAATTGTGGTATTTACCCTACTCAAGAGTAGTTTTATATTTCTGGCTATTATTTGAAATGTGACAAGTTAGAATTTTGCCGGGTATTGGATATTGTTATTGTACTTCAGGTTCATTTTTGAGAAAAATGATACAGGCTGACTTCAGTTTTACCATAAAGTGGAGCACCTTATTAGTTATACTCATTACGGTTGTTGGGGACACTTTAAATGTAGTTAGTTCCAATGCTTAACGAAGTATCCTGTATAGCCATATATACCACAAGAATATTAAAATATGGCCATATAAACTCACTAGATGATATCCACCTGTATACGGTTTTGCTAACTTCTTTTTTCATCATTTCTCCCGAATCAATAAATGTTTTCTTTGACATGCGGTAAAATTTAGAGAATTGAAAGTTATCATAGCTACAAAGCCATGGTTCCATCATTAAAAAAGAAAATCTGAAAAAAACATTTCTCCCATGAATATTATGAAAGGTTTCTTATTTAAACTTTCCATATACAGTTGTAGACGAAAAAGCACCGATTACTATATAAGTGATAATAAAAATAATCAGAGATTATATACGCGCTGTTCTAAAATAAACAACTTGCAACAAAACGCGGTTAAAACCAACGCGTTCAAGCGATTCGTGTAACTGACGTCATCAACCCGTGTGTCATCTTGAACCATATTATAACCGCGGCACATAACACATAAATTTTGGTTATTCGCTTGGATTTGATTTATGTGGCGAATTGCCATGTGTCCAACGTTTTAAGGCATTTGCCACATCGTGTGGGAGCGGTGTTACTGTGAAATTGAAATCGTAGAAAACAACACAAAAGTCAAATTAGGTATATAAAAACGTATTCAGAAATTTCTCAAAAGTTGTTTAAATTCCGGCAATATTTTTATTATCTTCCGTTTTTATTTAATAATTTGGCCTAATGACTACACCACATAACAGCAAAGGACTAATATTTTCTCGCAGAAAAGACATGACATAATCCTGAACAAATATCGACTTTCTTACCAATCAATAAATACATTCATCCGCAAATGAAGGTTCAAAATGATATTTGTGCACAAGTAGTATGCCAAAACTTCGAAATCGTAATTTAACTGGATTACCGTCCAATGTGTCCAATAAAAACGTGACTGATCACGTAAAATGCTTAGCAAGCGGTGCCATCAGCAGAATTGGCAACGATTATCAAAATGTTGAAAGGACACCCAGGATAACTCCTACATTTACCTCGGACAGCGATGTGGATAGTATTTCGTTAGAATTGAGCAAATTGGGCGGGTTAAGTTCCTCCAGTTCACTGAGTTGGAGTGATGAATACGATTCTGATATGTCCAAGAAAATCCAGGAGGAGCTAGAATTGATGAACAGGATGCTACAAGGCAAAGAAGAGATTCCTGCACGTTATGACAAAAAGGAGTTTCGCCAATGGATGACTACTTTTCCAAATTTAAGGTCTGTATTTGGAAATTCAACAGCACAGTGTAACAGTAAGATATCGTGATCGGCCCGTCAAATCTATTAATCTTGTTTACAATTTTCTCATAATGAATTTAAAAATTTAATTGAGAGTCAAAAAAAAAACTAAGGCATTTAAAATTTTCTATGGTTTCAATATCTTTACCATCAATATTGAGTTGAATAATTGTAGATTGTTTCAATCAAAACATAGCTTTCATTTTACTAATATTTAATTTGGGTTTGTTGGATGCTAACCATTTTGAAACATGTGTCAAGTATTTATTTATACAAGAGATTCAGGTCTGAATATGTTGAGTACTTATATAAATTAAAGTGTCATCAGCTAAAATTTGAATTTTGCAATTTTTGACTATGGAAGGCAAATTGTTTACCTACAAATGTGGAATACCTATTTTCAATTTTTGATAACAGTAATAATTTTTGTAACTTGCATCCTTTTAGACAAATAATTTTTAAACCAGTCCAAAACACTTCCTCATATTCCATATGCCTTCAATTTACCTAACAAAATATCTATCAGTTGTCTCAAATGCCCTCTTCAACTCCAAAAGTACTGCTATGAGAACTTTTTCAGGGTATATGGCTTTTCTGTAATTCAGAATAATGGAAGCCTGCTTGTGTTTCCACTAAAATTTTGTTTTCTTCTATAAACTGCATTAATCGGTCATGTACTACGGACTCCAAAAATTTTTGAATGTCTGGTAACACATTTGCTGGTTTCATATTGCTCCATCTTTTAGACTTTGTTATTTTCGGAACTGGCATTATTGTAGTGTAGAGCGTTACTAATTTTCAGGCAAAGAACTCTCCCTCAGTGAACAATTTAATACAGGATATTAAAAAATTTCAAAACGGTTATTCAGCACGTGTTTGGTTTTTCCTCAGATAATTCAACAATAGTAACATCATAAGCTTGAGTGGAAGAGCTCGCAATGTGAACTCCGCCTTTTGTTTAAACCAATAAAGACAATTATTATTATTATTATATACAGTTCGTCTCTAACACTACTTGATGCCAATTTTTTTACTTTCAGCATTTTTTATTCTCACTTGACTCCAGTAAACTCCACCGAAAATTTAACCAGTAGGTTGTTTGAAGAGCAAAATGATAAGTTTGAGGACCTGCAAGTTATGGGCTGCAAATCTCGTACTTACCTGAAAGGCTGTGATAAGGTGAACTCTGCAAAGCACATTCCCAACCAATCTGTGATAGATTTGATTGATGTAAGAAATAACCAAAGAAGTGCAAATAGAAGTAGATTAAAGGATGAGGAAATTAGAACTCCTAGGAGTAGGAACAGTTTTACTTTCTCAAGTAAACCAAAATCTTTTGACATGGATAAATACCTAAAGGTATTGCCAATAAGAAAACCATCTTCACAGTCTTTACTGGAAAGGCTGATGCCTAGAGAGTTATCAGATTCCCCACCAGAATTCAGCAGCCTACCTTTTATAGAGGTGATACATAGTCCTCTAAAGTCATCTAGCAAAACAAGAAAGCAGAGACATTTACAAGTATCAGGGAGGAATAACAGCAGGATAGTTCTTCCACCAATAAACAGCCAATTTAGATCTGTTTCTGCAGCACCAAAAAAAGCTTCCAAGACATTGTCTGCACTGTCTATATCAAATATCACTGAAAGGAATAAGAGATCAATGGATTGCTTTCCAGAAGATTCTATTGGTGTTGTGAATGAGAGCACCTTAATTGTAAAATAAATGTTGTTTACATATACAATGAAGTTTGAAATAATTGCCTTGTGGGGAGCGGCACTTTTTCCAAGTAAGGAGCATGTAGTGCCTACAATTTTTATAACCAACTTTTCGAGGTATTCAAAATATCGACCGCTTATACATTAAAAACTCGCCGCGCATGTACGAGTCCCTTCCCACTTCAGTTGGCTCACTTCAAGATTTGTACCAAAATATGCCTTTATAAACTAAACATGACGAAACTATTTACTTCTAAAACAATTTATTTTCTCAAAAACATTTTAGATACACTCTAGTCGTAAAAAATACATATTTGAAATCACTTAGACCTATAACTAATAGAACATCCGAACAAATAAACAATGTGCGAATAAATAAAATTTTTTATTACTGCTGAAATTCTTTGGGGCATAGTGTTAACCAAGTTTTGGCAAAAATTTGGTGTAAAACAATCCCATATTTCTTGAAGCTTTTGTCTCAGTTCGGTGATTGTACGAGCAGGATGTTTTCGTGCCACAAAGTTTCAATAGGTGACAGATCTGGACTGCTAGAAACCCATTTCAAAAGTGATACATTATTTTCTAAATAATTGGCACGCCTGTTTTTCACGATTATTCTTCTTAATGCTCTTCGGTCGGCATTTGTGATATTACTTTACTGCGATATGTCTAACAAAATTGCAATTTTTGAGTTTGATTTCCCAGAATTAAAAAATTTAATTATCAGTAACCGAATTTTCTCACTAATAACCTTTCCTCTACCCATTTTGAAAACCTTAACTACCAAAAACTATTTTAAACGTATTCTGACAGCTGTGATTAATAAAAACAATTGTCATGGCTTTTATTTTTCACAGCCACCTATGCGTTACACACTTATTTTGCATTGAAATGAAAATAGGTTGATATGCTGTAATTGCAACATGTGTTATTTGTATGCTACAAATTTGACTAGGGAGTGATAAAGTTGGTGTTTTCTACTATATATTATCAAAATATTCATTGTTAATATTTTAAACCTACTAACACCCTGCTACATTTTTATTATTTGTGTTTGATAAGAAAAAATCTAAGATTTCAATAGTTGGGCCAACTGAAGTGGGAAGGGGCTCATATAAGCATCCTAGCTGAGGGGTTATCAGAAGTGTCAGGTTCGATTGCGGTGTTTTAACAGTTTAACATGTGTGATACCGAAAAACTTATCGAAAATAAGCGGGAACATTCCATCTTGTATGACTTGTCTCTCAGTGACTATAAGAATATTAAAAAAAAGACAATATATATATATATATATATATATATATATATATATATTTAAAACTTATCTAATTATTAAAGTATGAATATATAATAAGAATATTAAAAAAAAGACAAAATATATACATATATATTTAACACTTATCTAATTATTAAAGTATGGAACAAATTTTTCACGTTTGTTGATTGTCTGGCATCGTTTGCAAAATTTTCAAAGGCTCCGAGGTTGGGCTGCTGTTCATGCTCTTCTGGCTTTATCAAATTCAAAATATCATCAAAACGGTCCACAGTTATACGTTTATGAAACATTGTATGAAATTGTCCGTTGCTTTCCCGATCACAATTGATATCATGAACAAAAAAAGAAATGTAAATAATAACAAGTACATTTTGGATTTGCAATTTTTTTCCATTATTATTAGTAATTTGTTTACATACTTACCTTTGCCTTTCCTTATCTTCATCCACTAAAAAAGCCAAAAGCAATAAAGCTTCTACATCTATATCCTGTGCACTCATTGCATACTTTAATTCTGAATAGATACTAAATTTGTCGTTGAAAAATCACATTTTTTTGCGAACATATACTCCGCCTGGTGACCGCCACCGCGATCGATATCGTCACCTTCTTCAGTGTATATCTGTTGTTTTATTATGTGCATTTTGTGCATTCCCATTCCACTTTAAGGCTCCTCCACACGTAGGCAGATGCGTCGGCAGACGTCATCTGCGGGTGCGTCCGCCGACGTGTAGAGGGGGGTATTTGCTCGTCTGTGGGCGGTATCGGACGTCGGCAGATGCGTCTGGCGCTCTTCCGTCTGTTGTCGGTTTTTGTGACACGCAACAAAGGGATTAAGGCGCGAGCGTCCGACGTCTGACGACGAATGAGCACGCATCAGTGCTATCGGAATCGGGAAAGAGACTGTACTCGCGCTTCTTAAGGTTTTTACCTTAACCTTTTTCGCTAACATGGCTAATATGACCACTGATGAAACCTTCAAATTTATTGAGCTATATCAAGCAGAAAACTGCCTGTGGAATCCAAAGAATAAGTACCACAAAAACAAAAATGTTGTAAGTATACGCACTCAAGTAGTAATTAAAAGTACTAAACAAATAAATAGCTGCGGCAGTTACCATCTCAACATCCATTTTTTAAATATTGCGTCCGTTGCATCTGTCGAGGCTTGACACAGACTGAGCGACCTGCAGACGTGTGGTCAGCTCGTGGGGATTCACCTGCCGATGCATCTGCCGACGTCCGCCGACGCATCTGAAGACGTGTAGTGGAGGCATTAGACAATTGACGAAACCTGTTGCTATTGCTATAATACTATGACGATAACAAATAGTACTGTTACTGTTGGCGCCATCTGTTGGGAGAGTATTCTACTCGCCAGAGCCTCATGGCAAAAGAACCCAGAAAAACGCTACAATACCTTTGTCTCTCTTCTCTACCAAATCTTGTAAGGTATCATCAATATATCCTCTAAAACCTATTGTACGAGTTTGAACATCAACCAAAAAGCAAAAATCCTCAAGCCGTCCTAGTGCAGAATCGTTAGGCCATGGTGAGAAAAGTCGTCCTCAACATTGTACAATATTTCAGTAGGTAGTGCCACTAGTCTTTTCTGTTCTACTCTCCAGTAAGAGATGGCAGCATGAATATGTACTATTTCGTTGTTTTAATGTTTGTGGTTGTAATAAGTTTGACTAATGCCTTTTTGTTTTTGTCGAGTAAAAGCTGGTTTGTAAAATGGGATAGGTTCATCCAGTTTGTTATTTAAATGATCTTAAAATAGAGTCTGTTAACTTGTTAACAAAATCTGAATTTAGATCCGGTTCTTGATATAATCAACCCACTATTTTTCATTGCTCAACATTATAATGCTTAGTTATGCAATAGTGCGATAGTTAGCGCTACTAGTATATTTTGTGTTCTATTTTTGAGACACAACTGCAAGATTGTCCAGCATGCTTGTTCGACCTTTTTGTACAAGCACGCTTGAATGTCTGTAGGGAAATATGGTGCAAGCTTTGTAATTGTACAAGCAGCTTGAGGATTGAATTGATTTTAATTATGCTTGCTTGAGTTAGGCGCGCTTGCGTAAGCAAAACGGTACGTGTGTACCCAAGATTTTCAAACTGGCACAAGCTGGCGTCCCTTGTGTTGTGTTGGAATTGGAACTGGTCGTCTGTAGGTAGCCTTTGAGTAATTTTCGTCATGACTAGAGATCTCAAAAAGGTTAACCGTGAAGATTTTTCGAGAACACCAAAATCATCAATGTCTTTTTGTCACGTTAAATCCAAAGATTATCATAACAAAGCAAATAGGGATGCAGCGCAGTGGCGGTTCCACTGTAGGAGCACATGAGCACGTGCACCCCCAAAATAAATAATAAAAAATATATATAATATCCATTTAATAATTTCTCAAATAAAGTCCGAGCCTCCTGATATTTAATCGTATTACATCAAACCGATCTAGTAGCTCACCACTGCTAAGAATGCTAAGTGACCTAGTGACCACTCTTGATTCGGGCGCATATTAATATTATGCGATCATGTACCCGGGATTAGTGTGTTCTCTCCCAACCCCAACTGTTCTGGTTGCGGGGTACAGCGAGTTTATCGCAATTTAGTTGGAGAAGGCCCACACTTCTGGGGTGCGCCATTGTCCGTTGCGCGTGCATTTTATGCAGTAATTGGAGGTGTGTTCGAATTGTTATGTTCGTAGCAGTATTTTAACAAGATATTGAGTTAAAATGAATGGTTTCACTTTGGAATATTTGAAACATAACTTCATGTTCATTGAGTTTGGAGCAAAACGTTGAAATAAAAAATGCGGGAAGACTTACACCAGAAATTAACTTAACTCATACCACACAGGGTAAATCTAGAGACTTTATTAGAAAGTTTAAAATGGAAATATATGAAAAGAATAACTGGATTTGTGGATGCAGCACAACAAACCGTTTGTTTTGTTTTTCCTGTTTGTTGTTTGGTCGCGGGGTTGCAGAGCCTGCCTGGACAAAAAATGGAATAGCCGACTTGGGACATTTAGCACAAAAAGTTAAGAAACATGAAAACACTCAAGTCCATATCAATGCGCAACTGGAAATGCAGCTTTTGGGAAAAGTAGATATACGGCAGCAGTTGGACAGTGCATATAGGCGCAGTATTCAACAGAAAAAGGAACAAGTTAGAAAGATTAGGTATGTGGTTTCAAAAATTATTGGTTGCATAAAATTTTGAGAAGCCTGGTATTTTTAGAGGTTTAATAAATTTTACTGCCGAATTAGATATAGCACTTATTTTGAAAAATCTACAGTATTCAAAGGGGTATCAAAAATCATTCAAAACGAATTGTTAGATTGCATGTTACAAGTGGCTCAGGAAAATATAAGAAAAGAAATTTTCTAAGCTGAATTTGTTGCTGTTATGGCTGACGAAACAACAGATGTAGCTAATTGTTATCAAATGACTACAGTATTTAAGTACATTCCACCAGATGGAAGGCCAGTTGAACTTTTTTGGAATTTTGTTACCCCCCCCCCTGACCACGATGCAGTTACTCTCTCAGAATGTGTGAAAACTAATTTAATACAAGTGCTAGATAAACCAGCGAAACTGATAGTTGAAAGTTATGACGGCGCTAGTGTAATGAGTGGCCGTCATGGAGGTGTTCAAGCCCTTATTCAATGTGATTATATTTATGCTTATTTCGTTCATTGTTATGCCCACCAGCTAAATTTGATTTTATCAAAAGCTACAATCCAAAATCAAGAAGTACGGGTATTTTTTTCAAATTTAAGCGATATTTCAACTTTTTTTTCTCATTCTCCACAACGACTTGCAGTTTTGGATGAAATTGTTGGTGCAAGAGGTTCTGTTACAAGATGGAATTTTAAAAGCAGATCTATAAATACAGTATATGAATATCGCGAATTTTTAATAGAATGCATGGAAAAAATAGAAGCTACTTCAAAACAAACTGTTAGCATCAATCAAGCCACTGGTATTGGCCGTATGCTACAAGATTCTAAGTTTGTGTTCTGGCTAACTGTATTTCATCGAATATTGCCACATGCTGATATTTTATATAATCAGTTACAAAAAACAGTGACTGACCCAGTGCAAATTCAGACTGCCGTAAAGTGTTTTAAAAACTGCATCCAAAAAGAGAGAGACTGCTTGGAAACAATTGAAACTGAAATTTCTGAAGATACCACTACTACTCAAACTAAAAAGTGTCGTGCAAATGGGTGTGATACCATAATTATACACGTAACAGATAGATTTTCTTTTACAAAACATTTAAATGCAGCTATTCTTTTTTCTTCTGATAAATTTCCACAATTTGAAAAGCATTTTCCAGTGCAATATTTGGAAACTGTAGTAGAAGCATATTCGTTTTTAGACAAAGTTCGCCTCCAGACTGAATTAATTTACCGGCGACCTGATTTCAGAAATATGAGTGGTGCCATTAGTTTTTTAGTTTTTTATAGAAAATAATCTTCAGAGCATATTTTCTGCCACCTTTACACTTTTAAAAATAATTGTTACCATACCAATGACTAAGGCCGAAAGTGAAAGATGCTTTTCGACATTGAAGAGAATAAAAACATTTTTGCGAAGTTCTATGAATGAAGAAAGACTGTCAGGCAATGCTATCTATCGAGAAAAATGTATAGCGGGTATTCCAAACTTTAACGAGGCTGTTATTGATAAATTTTCTGCAAATAAAAACAGGAGAATGGACTTTACGTTTAAACACTGTACTCATTAAAAAATTGTATTTTTTATAAATGTATTTTCTTGTGTATAATAAAAAAAAAATAACAAAAAATGTGTCGTTGATGCTTGTTTTAGTACCCTTATTGCCTTCTACGACACGCATAAGAAAAAAAATTTGGTGGTGGCAAAAAAAATATTTCATACCACTTGTGAACCCCCTGTATCATAGACCACGAGCCGCCTCTGAGGCAGCGTACAGAATATTATTACAAAAATATAGGCTAATTCATCCATTCTAAGATAATTGTGCCAGTCACGTGGATATATTTTCAGCTCACTTTGTAAGTTAACGTGAGAATAGGTTTTACTTTTCGTCAACCATTCTTTACACCATAGCTCACGCTTTTTTATTCGGCATTTTCTTTCGTTCACAAGAACAAAAGCGGCCAAAGCGAGCGCATCGTCGTCCGAAGTCGACATATTTTATTAAACTACCTCTTCAAGCAAGCTTGTACGTGTGGGGGGGGGGGGGGGGGGTTGAAAAGGAAACGATTGTGGGCTGGTCTTATGCCTCCACTACACGTCTTCAGATGCGTCGGCAGGTGAATCCCCACGAGCTGACCACACGTCTGCAGGTCGCTCAGTCTGTGTCAAGCCTCGACAGATGCAACGGAGGATGCAACGGACGCAATATTTAAAAAATGGATGTTGAGATGGTAACTGCCGCAGCTATTTATTTGTTTAGTACTTTTAACTACTACTTGAGTGTGTATCGCAGTAGAGTTATTAAGAAGAAATGGAAAAGAAGAAGGTGGTGGATGCTGGCTATACATAGAAACAGAACAAAGTAAGTTGAATAGGGACTAGTCGAGTAATGTAAGATAATTTTGATGTCGACTTTCCTGATGTAATTGTCTTGGTTGGTTAGCATACGCTTAAAGTTATTCTCATATTTCAACGGATCAACCTTTATTACACGACATTTTTTTACAGGAATAGCATGGAAAATCAGCTTGCAAAACTTTACGCGGAGCCAGCTGGAGAATTTGACAATTTTGTTCGAATGTCTTGCAGCGATTTTGAATATCTTTTACAGAAGATATCTCCAATGATTGCTAAAAATGATACTGATTGGAGGGATGCAATTCCAGTGAAAGTACGCCTGGCAGTAACATTAAGATACTTAGCTACTGGAGATAGCTATAGAAGATTGCATTACCTGTTCAAAATTTCAAGCCAAGTGATATCTCTAATTGTTCCTGAAGTATGTTTGGCGCTCAATGACGTATTAAAGGATTTAGTTTAGGTAAATTACATTAATTTTAACTCAAAATATTTATTGCATGTCTAAAATAAAAAAAATTATTGTTTATAAAAGTCAAAAATGCTGGTCAAAAATTAAGGTTACTTTGTACTATCCAATACATTGCCGATGCTTTCATAACAGGATCTAGTTGTTTCTGGTTGAATCACTTCTTGTGATAAAATGTTAATTACTTCGGATTGTTGTTGGTTGACGTTTTGTGGCAGCGATCCCACTGAATAAGGGGAGAGGGAGTCAATTGTGGCATAACTGGGTGACGGTGTTTGTGTTAAATATACACTGTTATTGGAGCTAGGATGACTGATTATCACTGGTGAAGGGGCAGAAACATTATATGATCTATTATGCATCAGTCTGTCGTAACAACGACGTTTGTTCAGCATAATGCCATGCAATTCATACATAATTTCTTCTCTTTCAAGTGTAGGGTATTCTTTGATTTGCTTTGCCAGCATTCTACAAAATAAATCACATTCGTCTTCTTCTTTCCCTCTCTCCTTGTTTATCAGTGCGCTATTTAATGCAGTAAACGCTGTGCTCATTTTTTTGCTTGCTTCCTGTAATTCAGGCGGATTCATAGTACGACGTTTTTGTCCTTGAAATTTTTGACTGCTTTGAGGAGGGATAGGAGGGACGTCAACGTCGACGTCGTTTTTTCCTTCTTCAGAGAGGTCACTAGCCCGTTCGTTCGAAGCGCCGGCTTCTTCACATACCTCAGGTCGTATCTAGGAAAGAAAAATACATTAAAAATATACGTAAATAATAATAATACATTAAAAAGCTAACTAGCAAGTTTAAAATATGATAGTAGTTAAAAATTAAAATTTGAAATATCTAATTTTTTTTCTTTCAGATGCCTAAAACTGCAAATGAATGGCTGTCAAAGGCACAAGGCTTCAATTTTCCTCATTGCATCGGAGCTTTGGATGGAAAGCACATCATGATTCTACCGCCACCCCATACTGCATCGGAGTAGTTCAATTACAAAGGACACTTCAGCATTGTACTCTTAGCACTAGTTGATAGTGACTACTGTTTTATTTTTGTGGATATAGGATGCCCAGGACGGATAAGCGACGGTGGCGTCTACAATCAAAGTGTTCTAAAGCAAAAAATTGACACAAATGTGATCAACTTGCCACCTCCTAGTTCTTTGCCCAATAGTAACACTAACTTCCCTTATGTTTTTTTAGCTGATGCGGCATTTGCTCTGAGTACACATATTATGAAGCCATTTCCTGGGCATCATGCCGTTGGTACTCCCAAGAGGTTATTCAATCAAAAACTGTCTAGTTCGCGTGTGACAATCGAAAATACTTTTGGAATAATATCTAGCGTATTCAGAATTTTCAAAAGGCCTATACCACTGAATATTCCCAAGGCATCTTTAATTACAATGATATGCGTCTTGTTGCACAATTTCTTGAGAAAAAGTAAAACATCTCGACATATGTACACTCCCCCAAATTCGGTAGATAAGTATGTTAACGGTGAATTAACCCAACCAGGATCTTGGAGACAAAATTACACAGGAACATTTGATCCACTGCAACATGTACCTCGAAGAGCTCCTACATGTGCAGTAGAAACAAGATTAAATTTTATGAAATATATTCACGAGCATAACAGTAGCTATAGATGTACCTAACAGAATTTTCTGAAATAAATAGGATTAGAGAAACTTGGTTTTTTACTTACGTTTTCCTCTGAATTCATGAGACTGGTGGATTCATAAATATCTGTTAGAAATGCTGCCATCACATCATAAAAGATCCAGATGGGCTGGTACACGTCCTCTACTCCAGATCCCGACTTCATAGAAGACATTTTCTTTTTTAAGTTTGTCCTGATTGTTCCAAGAATATTGTCTTTATTTTTTTTTAATTCATGGATAGGAACACCCATCCTGTCAGCAATACGCTTCCATGAATCATTGATATGAATTAATAAATATAAGCATCAATAGAGTGTCATCAAATCAAATAACTTATTAGCATCACATTTTCTTAAAAAACATTTCAAACAATACTTGCTGAATGAGAAGTAGGCTACGTGACCATGACCTTGAAATGACCTTGACCTTCAAAGATCGTTTTAAAGTCAGGTTGAAAATCTAAAATGAGAAGACCGTTTTTTCAATCCGTAATTGAAGAGAGCAGAACCTTTTACGTTGTGACTCATTGGATTCATGGTCAAGGTCAAGATTCAACGTGAAACAGGTATGAGCCCCTCCTCTACTATTACTTAACTTCTGCATGCACCACCTTCTAAATAATCGTACTATTTTGTCCTTGGAATGACCTTGAACCTTAACCTTGACCATGAAGCCAATAACTTACCTAAATGCAGAAGGATCTGCTCTTTTCAATTACGGAGTTAAAAATGGGTCGACCCATTCAAAATTTTTAAATGACAAGATCAATGTTTTCAAGATAATGGTCAGTTAGCCTTCCTATCGCCAAGAAACTTTTGTTTTGAGCATTTTTTAAGGAAATTTGCTTTCAACAAGGTATTCCATTATCTCAAGATAATGAATATGTATATACATAATTAAATTATAGTAATTGGTTGTATACTTACAACATTTTTGTTTTTGTGGTACTTATTCTTTGGATTCCACGGGCAGTTTTCTGCTTGATATAGCTCAATAAATTTGAAGGTTTCATCAGTGGTCATATTAGCCATGTTAGCGAAAAAGGTTAAGGTAAAAACCTTAAGAAGCGCGAGTACAGTCTCTTTCCCGATTCCGATAACACTGATGCGTGCCAATTCGTCGTCAGACTCGTCAGACGTGTGGTCGTCAGACGTCGGACGCTCGCGCCTTAATCCCTTTGTTGCGTGTCACAAAAACCGACAACAGACGGAAGAGCGCCAGACGCATCTGCCGACGTCCGATACCGCCCACAGAGGAGCCTTTATACGGTGGTCGGCGCTAGTTTAAAAGAGGAAAGGATGACTGCGGGTGCCTACCGGGCTAAATTTTTATAATAACAGTAGGATTTCGATTAGCGATCTAGCCTGCAAATCGTTTCCTATTTTGGTACTCAGCTAGTGATCATTTAGTATTGTTCTACCCTTGTTACTGTTCGTCGATATTATGTTGTTGTACTCTTGTTGGTGTGATGGTTCTTGAGTGAATTTTTTATCAAGGTTGATAGTGAGTTTAATTCATGATGAGGACAACAATAGTGTGGAGCAGTTCAACTCTATAATCGCAAAATACTTTGGGGTAAGCGAATAAATTATTGCAAGAACAGGTCATACCATGGAAGATGTGCTGCAGCTGCAGTGAGCCACAATACGGAGCGGCCTGTCTATGTGGTCCAAATACATTTGCGTTCTAAACTTAGTTCAACCTCGCTTATCACTAAGATGGAACAAAGACTCAAACGCAAGAATCTTGGAAAGAAAGTCAGACCAAAAAAAGTTGATATAAAAATAACTAACAATTCGGATAGCAATTCCAAAGAAAATATATAATAGTTTTATGGCGAATTCTGTCGAAAACCTGACATGAACGACATAGATTTGGAGGTTGCTAAGCCAGAATTTTTAGGGAAACTTAAAAAAAGTGACGACGAGATTTTGCATATTGAACAAGTCAACAAATCACAGGACTGTGCTTTGTGGCGTCTTTATCGGAGGATAAGGTTGACAGCGTCTCGATTTGGTGAAGTTTGTAGAAGAAGGCAGACAACAAGCTGTAAAGTTCTAGTAAACTCGATCATATACCCAACAGAGTTTTCTGGTAAGGCAATAAAAAAAAGCAATACAAAAATCATTGGACACGGCAGTTCAATCTTGTGGTTTGTTTATTGATCGCACACATTCATTTCTGGCAGCATCACCTCCATCTACCTATTACAGTAGACAAGACATGTACTTAATCCAGATATGTCTACCTGTTTATTGCTTTGCAAAAACTACCTAACTGTTTCCTCTTATTTTGAGGGCATAAGATATTTTTATGACCCTCGTTCAATTGTTACCATCTACACGACCCTTGTAAACATAATTGTGTTTATTGACATGAATAAACGAATTAGAATTTGAGTTTTGAATTTATTTTAGGAAAGATATAATGATGAATACATTTTTTCTTAGTCGGAACGCACCGTCGCGTCGCTTGGACTGGCAGGACGAAACAGTAGATGAATTTCGCCCAAAAACCGATTTGCACTTCACAGCTTACTTTTTATTATTTCCAAATGAAACTCTTGCAGCGTGCTAAAAACAAAGTCCACAGAGTGCCAGCGATCCACTTTTTTGATTTTATCCACTAGGATCTTTTTAAAATATCAAGAAGTTGAGCACAAATAGTGAGCATTTCAACCCACCAGAATTCTTGCGCAAAGACAAAATTTTGTAAAAGGCTCTGATAGCACCCTAGGCAATTATGGCTTGCTTATATCCAGAAAAACATAACAAATTGCAGAACACAAAAAAAGGTAACGGCGAAATGGGTACATTTCACGAGTTATGAAATTCAAATGAAAATGCAGGTATAAAATCTACCAAATGATCGTTCTTAAAAACATATTTCCTTGACATATCGATAATTTTAAAGTTCCACGCTAAATTCCCCTATACTTGACTGGAGTGATATCCGAATTTATTCTTCCCTACTGTCGGTAGTTGCAGATCTGTTGGCTGTTGGTTTCAAAAACCTATAGAGCAGGTACCGATTTTTTGAAATCGTGAGCACATTATTCGTCGTATTTTCGGTACTTAGATTTCCTGTAATCACTGGGATCAGAAGCTACTTAGTAATAGAAAGTGTTTCACTGATTTCAACCCTCCTTTTTTAAACAGTACAATTTTTTATGTCAATGATTAGGAACCCCTGAAATGTCAAAAACGGAGTTTCAGCAATTGTTACTTTTCCTTTTTTGCTTATGGTACCGTTGCCACTGGACTAAAACTACAAAGCTTTGGCATACTAGTAACCGCGTGTGGAAATTTCATAAAAATCCGAGCGGTAATTTCCAAGTTGATGATGAGTGATACAGTTTTTCGTGATGTAGATGTCATATGACTTAAAAAAACATAACATCTCATTTTAGAAAGTTTTCGCGATTACAATACTTTCTCGCCAATGACGTGGGAAGTAAAACGGCTTTAAAATCGAGGAGTATTATGAGTACCTATTTGCAGAACGACTTATCTACGCGATATTATATGAAATAGAGCCACCAAATTATCCACTTCTGGATGTTCAGCTTTCTTGAGTGTCTGTCTCTTGCATGGCCCGCAGTCACTAGTTGACACGAACTTCTTGATCTTCTCGTGGTTTCTTTTACTGTCATAAATTGTAGATCGGCCTACGCCGTATTCACTTGCTAAACTACTGAAAGTTTCATTGCGATTTAAGCGGTCTAAAATATCACATTTTTCTTTAATTGTCAATGTTTTGTGCTTTCGCTTCTGATTTTGTGATGATGATGACATTACTAGGTACTATACTTAATACGCAATGAATAATTAGTAAACAATGAACGCACGCTAGGCCGTACCGCTATCACCAGTAGTAAAATTCAAACTAAGTAAAACAATGCTGTTCAAACCTGCGTGATCTACATTAGCGAAGATTGTCAAATACTTATGTATGTAATACATATTCAAAGACATGTCGGATTACAGGGGGCGCCGGATTAGACGGGGGCCGGATTATCGGGGGCCACTGTATATGCTTTATGGTTTGTCGTGCTCATTAAAAATATGTATTTGTTTCAAATAGAGCATTTATTTTCAAAAATTGCATATTTCATAATTATTTACAATCTTCCACGTTTATGTAACAATTTTATATAACATTAACAACAGCAGTACGTTTTTTTTGCCCAAACTTACGACTCGCGAGACATTTTTCGAGCAAATAATTTTAATACAATTTCTCTTATTTATCACGTGTGTGTATGTAGAAAACTTTTAAGATCATCTAAACATATTCTAAGCACAATAACTATATCCTGTATCCACAAATGTAAGTGATGATTCATAATTTTATCGTATATAGTGCTTTAAGACCAAAACTATGCAATTACAAAAAATCATCTGGATAAATTCATTATATTACATTTAAATAACAACAACCACGAACGAACCTGCTATTATAAATAATTAATACATGTATTGCTTCAACAAATATGCTATACAGCTTTTGGCGGGAAAAACTTTAATTTGACTCATACTTATTGCTGTTTTCATATGCTACAAGCAAATGAAAATCATGACCACTTGTTATCACATAAATTTACAAACTTTTCAAATAAAAATAACATATTTACAAATTGCAATCAATAAACGAAAAGATATAAGTTTACACAGAGATCAGGTACAAATTTATTAAAATCACATTCATACATATGCAATTTGTGTGATATTTATACTGGTTATGAAGTAACTTTAGACCATAATTAGATTTTTTATAATTAACTGAAATTGTTTTGACATGGGTTTTCACATATATTTGCTTTATCTATATTGACCACGCGCTGGCATGGAATTGAGTGTGCAAAATGTGAGGACCACAATCTCTCAGCAAATAAAAAATTATCGGAGCGAAAAAAACATTTTTTATGTAATGATTTAAGAGGGGAGGGGATTAAGCAAAATCCGATCAAAAGGTGGCAGGGCAAGATCATGATTATTATTCTTTGATTTCATCTCAGTTGATATCTATTTATAAAGTAGAGCCCTCACATTTTGCACCGTCAATCCCATCCAGCGTCTGGTCTAAACAAACATTTCACTATTTTATCTGCTTCATTTAATACTCGATCAGGTCTATGTAAAGTAGTATATAGATTGATATATAACATTATTTTCTATTATTCGTTAGTGGTTGTATGCAAATACAGTAATTGAATAAAATCCTAACAATATAAAGACACACTTGTAAGATTGTTATATATTCTGTATGTCTTTCTCAGAGATGGGTGTTTCAATCTATAGGAACTATCTAAATCAATATATGCATTGTTCACATTTATACGTGACAAGTGTTATGGAATATCTATTAATTTGTGATACACAGCGCGTTTTAAAATATACAGGGTGTCCCAATATTCCGTAGTCATAGAAGTACCACATATTTTCAGACTCGATCGGACATGATTTACCTCTAGGTAAACGTGCTGCGTTTGTCCGTTAGATGGCGTCTGAGGTTTCTTTTTATGATACATTTTTTCGGATATTTTTGAAACCGATAGACCAACTTCATTCTTTGTCTCTTATAAAAGTTTCCGAGAAAAAAAATGTTTTTCGGAACTAGCTTCTTAAAAATTTACTTATTACATCGAGTAAAATTTGTTTGCGCCTTATTGTTATGCACAGGAACGAAGATGGTAATCATATTGAACACCTTTTATGAAAAATTTGCTCTATTATTATTATTTATTAAATAAAATTTCAATAATAGTATCATAATTGTTTATATTCTTCTACACTTACAGAATTAATAAGACGCTTAGAAAGCTCTAGATGGAACTAATTTTGTTTCTCGAAAAATATCCGAGTTGGGCTGACCTTATAGGAGAAAAAATGAAGTGAATAAAAAGATCTGCTAGATAAAAAAATAGAGTCGTCCGGAATGTTGCCAAAAAATTTTGCTATAATTTATGTAGTGGGTAGTTTCCACCCTTCTCGAACTCTTCAGAATTTTTCCTAAATGTCAAATATTAGAACGTCTAGCAAAACATATGTGTACCAAATTTCCTTCAAATTGGACCATCGGAAAAATGTGTTTTAAAAAGAAAACTTTGACACTTACTTTGAGTCTAAAAATACTCGGTTCTTCGATGTCCATGGAATATTGGGACATCCTGTATAAATAGGGGTAAAGTTGCGCATTTAGGTAATTATGGAAATGGTTGTTAGCAAGTTCCGCAATACACCTACACTTCAGTTTCCTATTCAACTTGAAAAATGTAAGATGTGTCTAAAGGGAAAATGAAAATACGCACTGTGTCTAATATTGAATATTCCAAAATCTGCATTAACATTATACATTTATTTCTCCTTAGTAACATTTTTGGTACGCTATAGGTGGCTGCGACTAGGGTATCTTTGGTGTATTTACATTGCCATATATTTATTCGGATTAATTCATAGAAATCAGAAAAATATCGCAATATTCAAATTATTTACAATATCACAATGCAACTGTAATACGGATAAATATACATAATTTAATTTTTATATCTTACAATCCCTTTTTACATATAGCGAGAATATATTTGCAATATAGAATATTCAATAAACAGACAAGCTGCGAATATAGAAAATCTTTGCAGCCAACATTTTATTATACAAGGTGACTTTTTAGTGTGTGCTGGGTCAATAACTCTGTGATTACGAATGCTACCAATAAAATTGATAACAAAAATTGTTGCCAACAGTATGCTGCTTATTTGGAAAATATTTTTATCTCTACAGGGTGGTTCACGTGGTGACCAAAACATTCGTTATTTTAAACCCAACTCGCAAATAGACGACTGAATTTTTCATTAGACAATTTTTATAATCACATATTTTGTCCCCATCTAGGTACTTACCTTTTCGGTATTCTCAAAATTTTTAAATGATACACCATGTATATTTTCACATTCCCTGATACCCCTTTCTAGAAGCGTTTTTTTGATATACGGCCTATTTGACTGGTTTTTGAGTTAAAGTTAATTCATTTGTAAATTAGATATTAAGGTAAGCGAAAAATATTATAATACCTTAACCAGTAAAAAATAGCATTTAGTTGGTAACGGATGATCTTTAGTTGTATTTTCTGTATAAATTAAATCTATCTAGCCTCATGCAATCAAGTCGAAAAGTCAAGAATGTGTCCACGGTACCCCATGGATGTTTGGCCTTCGTGGTAGATGGAGGATAAAAAAAAATCAGCGAAAACCAAAAGATCGCCAATTTTGGCGCCTAACACAAAAAATGGTTTAAAATAAATTGCTCTCAAAATACTTTTTGGGGTCGTGTAGAGCAAGGTTTTATCTTTAATTGCGATAGTTGGCAACCTCAAAAATTATAATTCGGTTTCGAGTTTTTAAGCATTGAATATTCCAATTGTTATGGCTTTTTAGACAAATGGCCTATAACTCGAAAATGGTTCGCTTTAGAGAAAAATTGTTGAAAATCAGTTTTGTTTGGTATGTTCCAGAAAACCTGAAAAAAATGTCCGGTCAAAAAAAATTTGTTTAAAAAATGTATTGAACAAATTTGATCTGGATTACCGTGTGGGCATGTTTAATGCTTGAAAACTCGGTTAAACATTATAATTTTAGATTGTCCAATAGCTCCGCAATTCGAAAATAAAACCAATAGCGTGGGTCCGCAGGAATTTTTCTCAAGGGGACCGATCATCGGACAGAGATAGCTCTTTGTGAAGGGGTACCTGTCACTAAAACTTTATGAAGAGCGGAGGTAGTACATTTTTTCCAGGGCGAGCCAAATCATAAAAATCCTCAAAATTTTACACAAATCATGCTAAATATGCAAATTTCAAGGTCGAACCCGATTCCCAGAGGGGCTCCTTGCCCCCCTCGCATGCGCCCATGTCCCTGTTAAGTCAAATTGCTTTTTTTGAAAAAGCCTATCCAAATCTGCAATCAAACGTATTGTTTTCTATTAAAAAAATGTATGTTTGGGTCATCACGTAATTATGAATCACCCTGTAGAAATACACATAATGTTGGTTACAATTTTTGTATTTAACTATTTTAGATAACATGTGTAATAACAGAGTTATCGACCGAGCCCACAATAAAAACTCACCCTGTATTTTTTTGAAAAATTAGATATCATATTTTACAAACCAATCAACAGACAGCCGTTTCGCTATTTTTATCAACGTATTATTTTGACCGGTTGTAGAATAGATGAACGATAAAACTAATGACACCGTACTACTTAGTATATTTCAAAATAAAAAATATTTTGTTTACTGCAAAAAACCTTCTGAGCATTGAATATTCGATACCGAAATATTGCTTCCTTCTCACTAATTTTTTTTAAAAGCAACTTTTAAAAGCACATCATCAAATTTTGTATCTATCATTCTAACCCACCTCTGTATATCGTAACAAATATCTACACCGTTCATTTTTTCCGATAAAAAAGCTCATATTATCACTGAGAATATTTACAAGTGGCACAAACAGAGTTTACATACAATAAAAAATCGCAATCCATTAAAGCCTATACGTATATATTACAAAATTTATTAAAATCGTCCTTTTTGCTTCCATTTAGTCGATGTTTGTGATGTTTCACAATTAAAGCACTGGCTATAAGTACAAGTTAGTGAGCTTATAGAATAGGTAGTAGCGCCTTCACAGAGTTTTGTTAGTTTCACACCCACAAAATTAAAAGACTGAAAACGGTTCGATATCGTCTCTCGCCTGGGTTCTTATGTTTAAAGTGTTCTAAAGTTTTTTATAAGTACATTCAAGTTTAATTTACATCTAGATTTTAATACTGAACGTTTAATCACCCAGTGCAAGAAGCGATTACGATCATTTTAAAAACACGAAATCATATTTTGGATGAAACAATCATTGAAATATATCGTCTTATTCTGAAGTCAAGTTTCTTTTAGTAAATGATTAATCAATTTTCCTGTCCGATAATTTTTGGGTTAAGAAAAGCTTTTGATGAAATTTTAATGTCATACGTTGGTGCGTGAACGTTACGTTCTTCAATAAAAAGTAATTTATTCCAGGATAGAGATATTCCAAAGCATCAGTTTAGTAGCATTATCGACATTTTGTGATTTCTTACGTAAACGTCTTAAAATTGGGACTCCTATATGCCTTTTGGTGAGAATTTGGAAAAGCTTCGCTATTCGGAATTCCTAAGAATAAACATTTTAGAAGCCTGGCTTCAAAATGCTTATTTTATGTCAGAATTTCGAAACTTCAACAATTATTCACCAAAAAATTGCTTATACGAGTAGCTAGCATATAATTTTTCAGTATGTATAATTTGAAGCTTTGAAATATTAAAATACAGGGCCTCCCCAAAGTTGGGACTTTACAGTGCGTATTGGTCAGGCAATAATAAACAAGTTCTCCTAGCAAAACATACCAAAGTCTGAGATAGTAAGAGCCTGTTTTATAGCCGTCTTTTGAGGGCTGAGTGCCATTTGAGGGTTGAACTACCCTTGCAAATAATGTAACCATTGTAACAATAACGCTTTCTTGAGAGACGTCCAAGGGAGGATTCAACATTTAGGCTGCAACAGACGTTATCACAGCTTGTCATCGATGTCAAAAAGATTTTTCTTTGCTGGCTGTATCTGCTTAGCATTTTTATGACAGATTTTGGACAAAATGGTTTATCTTTGTGCTGAATGTTGCCAAGCAATATTAAATAGTAATGTAGTTGCTTTCTTGAATTTATAGCGGAATCGGAACCAGTAAACTGTGCATATAGGCAACCAGTTCCGCACCACAGATTATTAGCTACAGGTTAATAGTTTGGTACAGCATTATAAAAACATTATAATTTTTCATAATGTGTGAAACCGAACTAAAAAGAAATTTAGCAAGGAAAATGTATCTGGCCGAGCTACTGGACAAATTTAAAGGAACTGTTGAAAATAAAAAAAATATATAGCTGCTCGACTATTTTGATGATCAATGCTTGAGAGTGAATTGCAGAAACCTAACGAAAATAATACACCTAATATCAGCAGTTAAAACATGAAAAATTTTTGAGATAACACAACAAAGGTAAGTAGAATAATTTTGTTAGACCTAGGTAAATAACCTTATTTTCTACGAATTCATTTATATAAAGCTGAATTTTTCGCATGGGAAGGGTTCATAGATTGGACCTTTGTGAGCAGATAAACGTTTAATTGTTTGCTGAAAATAGCGCAACGTCTGCGTATTTGTTTGTTATTTTGAATTTTGGAATGTTTCAAAAAACAAAAATTGCAACTACCTACGATTGCTTGTTGCTGACCCACAATTTTTTTGAGTTTTTCACTTGTAATTTCAAGGAACATTTTCTACAACTTAACATCATACCGATTTTTTGACATATCGATTTTTTACATAATACCCCTGTCAGTGTTTAGTAATATTTAGCAAAACAACAAACCATTCTGTCCCAAACTAATCATTAAAATGCTAAATAGATACAGCCAACAAAGAAAAATCTTTCTGACATCGATGACGCCCTGTGATAACATATGTTCCAGCCTACTGTGAAATGCAAATGCAAATACTCCCTTGAACGTCCTCAAGGAAGCATTATTGTTGCATTGCCTCCAAGGGGTAGATCAACCCTCAAAGGGCACTCAGCCCTCAAGGGTCCTTTATCAATATGACGCCTCATTTTACTATTGACAGGCGAGAATAAAAGTTTGCGCCAATAAGAAGATCTTTGAAGTAATGGATTTAATGAATTTGGTCGATTTCTTGTAAAATGTCTCTCAAACTAAAGAAAAAATTATACGATTTGTATAAGATGGACTCCCAATTCTCATATTAAATCAGAAAATACTACATGTATCGCATGATTCAGCTACAAAAACCTATTTTTCATTTGTGTGACACCATTACTGAGCACTTTATTCAAAATAACAGTGCCTTACTGATGCTGTATAAAATTCTGCTTAATAAATTCTGTAAATACATATAAATTACAGTATGCTTATTTTTAAACCATCATCTAGTATTTACTTACTATTAAGAGGAAGATGTCACGCACTCTACTGAACGGTAGGAAGACTACACGACCACGCTGCGTCGCGGTGACGGTATCGAGGCTCGAAGTAGTTGTCCTACTGCTCAGTAGAGGGCGCGAGAGCTCCTTTTTAACAGGGCTGGCTCAAAAGGAACAAGATTTTTCGCAAGCTAGTCAAGTGAATTGAATATCCAACCAATGCTTGTCAAAGAATAAGCATTCTGTAATTTTGTTTATGTCCCCAAAGAATTTATCTAGCAGAATTTTGTTCAGCAACAGTGACATACGGTTATTTTCAATAGAATGCTCATTTGTGTCCATACTTCGAGTGTGGTGCACATGCTCATTTATCATTGTTGCATTAGGTGATCATGGCCGCTAATTTAATATCTGGATGCAAGTGAAAAAAAATAGTTCTTGAAGCCAAACCAAGTGATTTATGATATTTCTTGATTTAATATTGGAATCATTCACAAATCGTATATTTTTTCTAGATTGTGAAACACTCTACAAGAAATTGACCACATTCGTTAGATCCATTACCTCAAATACTCCTTCTCATTAGTAGACTTTGTGACTCTCGTGTTTTTTTGCACCATGACCTAGTAAAATCGAGCCTGAGCTCCAAAAACTCTAAATAAGCCATTCCTTGGCTCTCTCTCCTCCTACGTCAGAGGGTATGGCTGTGGCTATGTGAGTCAGTATCCCAAATCAGGCGTCCGCGTGGTATGTAGGTTAACCAAGTTTATAAACAAACCGATTTTGGAAACTGGCACATTCTTACAGCAACAATGTAATTATCGAGTTGATGTTAGTTTACCGTGAGCCTCTTCGAGATCTTATTGAGACTCTGCGAGTGAATTCGAGCTACCATCATCCCCGATATTTCCATTAGAGCTGAGTAGGTTTGTCTATATCACGCAAAAACCGTCTGGGTGTGCACAATAAACGACCCAGACAGCCCCAAATGCTGCAATTTTAGAAAAAGTAAACAAACACGCGTTTTTGAATCGAATAGTATAACTTCAAGCTGTAAGGAATAGTAACTGTAATTAGAAAGAAAACAATTTCTTTTTTACGTCTTCGGTGCCGCAAATTAACTGTCATTTCAAACGTAGTTGTTTCGGAAAAGGAGAGTCCCAACTTTCAGGATACCCTGAATTATTGAGGAATATTTCGCATATTCACCAAAATAGGGAAGTGAGGTTAGATCATTTTTCGGAAATGTCAGTGTTAGTTAAGCTCATAAAATGTAAAAATCAGTAAGTTGAAAAAGTCCATAATAAAGAAATAATAATAACCTATAAAGAATAACAATGGAAAAGGAGAAAAAGTGGAATGGTGGGTATATTTTGAAAATTGTCCGGTCCCTGATACCCTTTAGTTTAAATATAGGAGTAGGGTCCGTCGGTGAGGGCGCTACACAGCAGTAGTCAGGAGTTTTCGTCCTTGTTGGTGCCCCCTCCGCCTGTGCCGCTTCCTTGGCCCCCAGTGCCTGATCTGCCGCGCACTTGCTTGTACTCCAGACCAGGGTCGAACTGCATTAACACGAATACCTGACAAAAATATTTTCTATACAACCGCCCAAAAAATGTATGTTTTTATTCCCAGGCCACATTAAAGCTAAAGGTCTCTGTCACTCTATGGTATCGTAGCTCCCAAATGGATGAACCGATTTTGATTCTTTTGTTAAAGAATCGAGAATATTTCCAGCTATGTCACTGGAACCTCTGTTCGGCCGTTTGATGATAAAAATGGCGAATGAGCCGACTGTAGTTCTCAGATAAAAAACTCGGAGAATAATGTTACTGAAAGAATTTGTAACGAAAACACCTTTTTACTGTCTAAAGTCTAATTTACTACTGCTACACTAATTTATAACACTTAACATTCTGCGTTTGCTGTCCTCTGTCTCGACTGTGATACACTGTTTCCGCCATCGGTTGGGTATTTATTCCCCTATCGACGAGTCGAGAGACATTCCAGCGTTTTCTCGAGCTTCCACGGCAGTGGTCTATATGATAGCAGGTGCGTCTAGACGGGTCTCGATTATTTTTGACGATCGGCCAAGCTTACAATCCCTTACACACGTTTGCCTAAGCATTGATTCTGCAAAGCCGTCCCATCGCCACTCAAGGTCCCAGTTACGAGGGCGTTACAAATTCTTTCCTCAAAACACGTTGTAGGAAAGCGTTAGGAGACATCATGATCCTTACTAGGTCAATTTAATAGCTAGTTGATTTTTGGATGTTGTTGCTTGAATAGATCTGGCACTAGTTGTTCGAAAATTCAGAAAGGCCGTGACTGTTTCATGTCTTTGATTCTGCAACTTATAATGCTACCTTACAATGGCCAATAAATGAAACCGCAGATATCAAATGGCCTAGTTTAATGATGTTTCGGTTGCCTCGGCAGCCTTTTCAAAAGTACAAATAAAATTAATAACATACAAGTTTAAAAAATTGATAATCAATTAGACAACGACTTATTTATTTATATGTCTTCGATGCAACAGAATTTATTTGGTTTAACTTATAAGTGTTGCATTTGCATTTTTCTTGAATCCACCTTTTAAGGATCATTGCCAAGATTATCATGGCACCTCCCAGCACCTTCCTACAAGATTTTTTTATGAAATATCTATTTCAGAATAAGAGTTCTCAGAGTATTTCGCCTGAGAACAGTGAGAACTACAATATGCACATTCATCATTTTTCCAAAATCGGGCAAACTTCATCAATCTATTTCTCAGAAACTAAACATAGGATTGCCTTGCTCCCATTGAAACTTTTGTACAGGAAAGCGAGAAATACACCATACTAAAATTCCAGGAAAATTGACTAGGACCCATTTTAGATATGTTTTGTGTGAAGTCCTTTGACAGACAATCGAAGAATGCTTACTTGATCTGTGGGAAGCAACTGAAAATCATCCGGTGGATTTGTTATGACGTATCTTTTGCTGCTGGCATCGCAAGATGAACTCGTATCCCTAAACCTGTACAGACCGATGCACAGCATCCCGAACTGCTTTAAAGCTGCCACGAAAAGGTCTCCGTACTTTCCAGTTTCTCCGAATTGCGCTAGAGGGCCGTCGTACAGGGATATTTGGCCCACTCTGCATCTGTCTCGGTTCGATAAGCTCTCCGGGGTGCTGAAATAAAAATGGTCAATTCAGAATCACAATAGAGGTATGAGTAGGAATATTCAGAAGTGATGATGACAGCATTCTACATGCAGGAATTCAGAGTGACAAGCCGATCTCTGCCGCTGAGCTGGAAAAAAGAAGACTAGCGAGGACTGCTGGGATAAAGCTAGCCTTGTTTAGGGCTAAGAAGTACTTTTCTCCAAATGACCTCACTCTATACAAGGCACAGATAAGGCATAGTCTCGAGTATTGCTCACACGTTTGGGGAGCTGCCGCCCCGACATTATTTATGCTCAATGTTGTCCAAAGGAGGGCTGATCGACGACTCTTCTCTAGCAGACAGTCTCGGAACCCTTCGGAGCTCTCTTTCATGATGCCGCCGCGCGATGTGCCTGCCAGAAAGATCTGCCTGACTTTGGCCTCCCATCCTAACTGTGTCCAGATTGTGGAACAATCTACAAACGGAAGCTTTTCCCAGTTCTACTAACCTCAGGCAGTTCAAAAATCGGAATAACAAAATTTCTTTGGGATCCTCATAGCAGCCCCAGCATTTAGGCTTATGCCTGCGCGGATGCTTGGCTATAAAAAAAAGTAGAGTATGCGGAAACCAAAAGTTCGCCAGATGTAGCCTAACAAACAAGATTAGAAATCGTTTTAGAATAAATTGGTCTTGTAGTGCAACGTTTTAACTTTAGTTTAAAGATTTGGTAACCTAAAAATGTTTAACAGAGTTGTTAAGCATTTTAGGATATTTCAGACATTAAATCTCTTATAACTCGAAAACAGTAAACTATAGAGAAAGTTACTGGATACTTTTTTGTTCCTAATGATCCAGAAAACCTGAAACATGTGTTCGGGTGATCAGCACAAGCCTCACAACTGTGCTGTCGAACAGTTTTGTTAGAGCAAATTGTGGCGATGTTGATTTGATTTTGAAATGGCCTTGAAGGTGATGGTCGAGTTAATGGTCAAGGTGATATACGGGCCATAAAATTTCCTTGTCCTTTCAAAAGCGATATGAAAAAGCAGTGTTGTTTGAAAATCTTTACTTGTCCTTGAAATAACTTTAAGTGTCATTGTTAAGATCAACATTATTGTCCCCTCGTCACTTGATACTTTCTTTATAGAACGTTCAGTTTCGAAATATTTAGTGGGGGAGATGAAAATGGTTGAGTTTATACAGGGTGGCCGATAGATTAAGATGAAAAAAATGGACGTATTTTATTTCATTTCACAAATAGTTTATATAACTGACTGGCTTGTATCTTGAATATTTGTGAAATGAAATAAAATACGTCCATTTTTTTCATCTTAATCTTTTATTTGAAACTTAGAAATTATATATGAGAAATAATATTAGACTAATGTTCGGCTCTAGAAGCCGTGCAAACCTGAGCCCTCTTTTCCATCACTTTTTGGTAGGTTTCGGAAGGAATATTTTCAATCGCTTACGTAATATTGTTCTTCAGCTGCTCTACAGTATTTGGTTTGTTGACATAAGCCCTATTTTTCAAAAATTCCCATAAAAAAGTCAGGAGCCATTAAATCTGGTGACTTTGGTGGCCAGTTGACATCACCAAATCGAGAAATTAAACGTCCCGGATTTATTGTTCGCAAAAGATTAATTGTTTCCCTAGCTGTGTGACAAGTTGCTCCGTCCTGCTGGAACCACATGTTTTGCAGGTTAAATTGTTGGATTTGAGGAGCCAGAAAGTTTTGCACCATATCACGGTAGCGCTCGCCAGCGACAGTTAGAGAATTACCTGCAGCGTCTTCAAAGAAGTAAGGTCCATTGACACCTCTATACGACAGACAGATACGACAATTCTTTTTATTAACAAATCTGTTGATATAGAAGAGGGCTTCATTGCTCATTGTCGGTAAAAAACGTTATTTTGGGTATTAACGGGGCTCCTACAATCACGAGCACCATCTGCTGAGGTGCTCGTGATTGTGCCTACCGAGGTAAATTTTTATAATACCAGAGTCGGATTTCGATTAGCGATCTAGCCTGTAAATCGTTTCCTATTTTGGTACTCAACTAGTGATCATTTAGTATTGTTCTACCCTTGTTACTGTTCGTCGATATTGTGTTGTTGAATTGTTGTGTTGTACTCTTGTTGATGTGATTGTTCTTGAGTGAATTTTTTATCAAGGTTGAAAATGGGCAATAAAAGGTCATATGCGACAATTTTAATTACGAATTCAGTGAGTTTAATTCATGATGAGGACAATAATAGTGTGGAGCAGTTCAACTATATAATCGCAAAATACATTGGGGTAAGCGAATAAGTTATTGCAAGAAGAGGTCATACCATGGAAGACGTGCTGCAGCTGTAGTGAGCCACAATACCGAGCGGCTTGTCTATGTGGTCCAAATACATTTGCGTTCTAAGCTTAGTCCAACCTCGCTTATCGCTAAGATGGAACAAAGACTCAAACGCAAGAATCTTGGAAAGAAACTCAGACCAAAAAAAGTTGATATAAAAATAACTGACAATTCGGATAGCAATTCCAAAGAAAATATATAATAGTTTTATGGCGAATTCTGTCAAAAACCTGACATGAACGACATTGATTTGAAGGTTGCTAATCAAGAATTTTTAGGGAAACTTAGAAAAAGTGACGACTAGATTTTGCATATCGAACAAGTCACCAAATCGCAGGACTGTGCTTTGAGGCGTCTTCATCGGAGGATAAGGTTGACAGCGTCTCGATTTGGTGAAGTTTGTAGAAGAAGGCAGACAACAAGCTGTAAAGTTCTAGTAAACTCCATCGTATACCCAACAGAGTTTTCTAGTAAGGCAATAAAAAAAGGCAATACAAAAATCATTGGACACGGCAGTTCAATCTTGTGATTTGTTTATTGATCGCACACATTCATTTCTGGCAGCATCACCTCCATCTACCTATTACAGTAGACAAGACATGTACTTAATCCAGGTATAAGTCTACCTGGTTATTGCTTTGCAAAAACTACCTAACTGTTTCCTCTTATTTTGACGGCATAACATATTTTTATGACCCTCCTTCAATTGTTACCATCTACCATACGACCCTTCTAAACATAATTGTGTTTATTGACATGAATAAACGAATTAGAATTTGAGTTCTTGAATTTATTTTAGGAAAGATATAAAATTATTTGAATACATTTTTTCTTAGTCGGAACGCATCGTCGCGTCGCTTGGACTAGCAGGACAAAACAGTAGATGAATTTCCCCCAAAAACCGATTTGCACTTCACAAATTACTTTTTATTATTTCCAAATGAAACTCTTGCAGTGTGCTAAAAACAAAGTCCACACGGTGCCAGCGATCCACTTTTTCGGTTTTATCCACTATGATCTTTTTAAAATATCAAGAAGTTGAGCACAAATAGTGAGCATTTCAACCCACCATAATTCTTGCGCAACGACAAAATTTTGTAAAAAGCTCTGATAGCACCCTAGGCAATTATGGCTTGCTTATATCCAGAAAAACATAACAAATTGCAGAACACAAAAAAAAGGTAACGGCGAAATGGGTACATTTCAGGGGTTATGAAATTCAAATGAAAATGCAGGTATAAAATCTACCAAATGATCGTTCTTAAAAACATATTTCCTTGACATATCGATAATTTTAAAGTTCCACGCTAAATTCCCCTATACTTGACTGGAGTGATATCCGAATTTATTCTTCCCTACTGTCGATAGTTGCAGATCTGTTGGCTGTTGGTGTCAAACCTATAGAGCAGGTACCGATTTTTTAAAATCGTGAGCACATTATTCGTCGGATTTTCGATACTTAAATTTCCTGTAATCACTGGGATCAGAAGCTTCTTAGTAACAGAACGTGTTTCACTGATTTCAACCCCCCGTTTTTAAGCAGTACAATTTTTTTATGTCAATGATTAGGAACCCCTGACACGTCAAAACCCGAGTTTCAGCAATTGATACTTTTTCTTTTTTGCCTATAGCACCGTTGCCACTGAACTAAAACTACAAAGCATACTAGTAACCGCGTGTGGAAATTTCATAAAAATCCGAGCTGTAATTTCCAAGTTGATGATGAGTGATAGTTTTTCATGATGTAGATGTCATATGACTTAAAAAAACATAACATCCCATTCTAGAAATTCTTCGCGATTACAATACTTCCTCGCCAATGACGCGGGGTGTAAAACGGCTTTAAAATCGAGGAGTATCAGCGATCGCGATTATGAGTACCTATTTGCAGAACGAATTATCTACGCGATATTATATGAAATAGGGACACCAAATTATCTGAATACGTATTTTCTTAGTCCGTACATTGCTCCGCAACGCTTGGTTTGGCATCAGGTAACAGTAGACAAAATTCGTCCAAAATACGATTTGTAGAGGTTTGCGCGCTTTAAAATTGACGCTTTATTTTTTGATATTTTTGGATGAAATTTTCACAGAGTGCTGAAAACAAAACCCCACAGGATATAGCCACTTTTTGCACTAGGCTCTTTTTAAAAAAATCGCGGAGTTGAACAGAAAAAGTGCGCACATTAACCCATCATAAAACTTGTGCAAAAACAAAATTTCAAAAAGTGCTCCTATAGCACCCTGGGCGATTATCTTCTCAACATACTGTATGAATTTCATTGAAAAATATTGAAAAATGGAGTATCAGTTTTGAAGCAGCTGAACCCTTGTAAGTGGCTTGAAACTCACTGCGTCGGACCCGCCTTAAATTAAGCCAACGGCGCAAAAAATAACAAAAGGATGCGATAACCAAATCACATCACCGGGTACTAAACGCCCGCTACAGAAAGGTGGGAGGTTATTAACCCCACCGGCATCACTGCTCGGCATTACACGATTAATCTCGATGTTTCTGTATTCGATGAGATGCCTTCAGTGTAGTCACATCACTGCCGGATTTCGCTGTGGTTTTGGTGAAACGAGCGCGGTTGTTCGGAATTATTGAATATGTAATGGGAATGTACTGAATGTAGATTAGAATAATTATGTAGAGAACTTATTAAAATGATGAATGTATGAAAATTACGTATTATGTAGTAATCAGGTAATAATATGCCTACCTGTATCCTCCTCTGAGTCCAGCCCCTTCCGCGAGTATCAGTTCTAATTCTGGGGTGGCACCTCCTGTTATCAGAGATCGTATCAACGTTAAGGCATTCTGGTTGAAGTATGTCTGGAAAAAGAAAAGCAATCGTAAGCATCATATCAGCTTAGCCATTCCTTTTGCAAAGTTCATATTCGTTGTGAAAACATAGTGAACACTTACAGTAGACATGAGCGAGTCCAATACGCTGACCGCAAAAGCTGTACCGCATGCAAACGGTTGCGTCAGATATAGCTCGGTGTCAGGATCATCGTCGTCGTCTTGGTCCAAAAACTGAACATTGCTGTCGTTCACAAGTTCTGAAAGAAAAATAATTGTGCTATCAAAATATTGATTTTTTGTCCGAGCAGTAAAGTAGTATACAGAGTTACCAAATATTCCGTGGACATAGAAGTACCACGTATTTTTACACTCAAAATAAGTCGATTGGACATCATTTACCTCCATGGAAAAGTGCTTCGATTGTCCGTTAGAGGGCGTCAAAGTTTTCTTTTCAAAACATATTTTTATACACTTTAACTTAACTAGCCAGAACATTTATGTACACCACTATTTATGTTTGCCTACTTATTTACGAATTACTATGTCGCGCCATTCACTCAACTCTACTCTGCTTCCCTCTCCCGGCCGTCGCCCTATATATTCCGCATTGCATGTACTTGTTAGTTGGAGAAAGTTTCGGTGAGCCACATAGCGGCAGTCCAGAATCTTCGAGGTCACTTCGCCTCGATCTCGAAGGAGAGTCCTGGCTCGGTTCCCAACAGATGTCGCTCGTAGTACCACTCGGTGTCAGTCTTGCATCGAATGAGAGTCACTGGCACGATTCCCAACAGATGGCGCTGGTACTATTTATTCTTGTTACACTGCCCCCTCCCTAAAGTCATTCCGTCCCGGAATGATGTTGCTGGTGGTGGATGTCGTTATCGGCACGACTGCCCTTTCTTGCAGTAGGAGCTCTTGAAGAAGTAATAATCCACACTCTTTCCAGGAGGTAGCCGTCTAGGACTGTGTACAACATACCAGAAATCGGATGCCTGTATACCGGAAGACTACCTCAAGCATGCTTCGGATAATTCTCAAGTCCAGGTTCTCCAGTCCACATTCCAGCTTAGGTATTGCCAGTTTTCTCAGGTCCTCGGCAAGCAACACTTCTCTAAGAGAACACAAAGCGCTCCAGACATCCTCGTAATTCGGTTTCTGATACGAAGCTTTCTTGGTAACCAGATAGAAGATCCTTCGGTTGGTACCATCTTAAGTTATCTGGAGTACTTCGACTTCCGGGTTAGATTGACGCAGCAGGTGCACTCTTCGAAACTCCCTGAGAAAGACCTTTGCCATACCTCTCGACATTTGCAAGTCCTGAGCCACACAGTGTGCCATGGCATACTCTGGTGAAGTGGTAAACAGATCTTGCTGTACGTCACATGTCACGTTATACCGAATCTTATGACCATTAGCATGGTTGGCCATAAATTGGTCAAATGTCATATCCGGTTCTGGTTGGATTTGCCGCACCGCCCCATTTTCGTTGTTTCCATGATAAGTCAGTTGAAATGTAAAATTCGGGCCTTACCGCGTGGTGCCTTCTGAATCCTGTAGAGAACATCTTTGATGGCCCCCAGAACGTTATATGGTCCGTTCCAGGATGATAGAAGTTTAGGCGACAGCTCTTTTGGCCTCTTTGGGTCGTAAAGCCAAACCGTAACACCGTTGTCATACCTCTGGTCATTGGCATTAACGTCATTAGCTTCCTTTATCCTGTCGCTGGCACCTTGAATTGAAACACAAACCTGGCTATGGATGGCGTCTATTCTTCTACGCAGATCACTTACGTAGCCTTCTCCGGCAATATCAGTTCCTGGTGGACAGCCAAACTTTAGATCGCATGGGAGACGCAGTTCTCTTCCCATAACTATTCGAGCCGGGATCTCTCCTGTGCTTTCATGAATCGACGATCGGTAAGCCAGTAAGAAGAGGTGAAGAAAACTATCCCAGTCTCTTTGATGGTTAGAGACAACCTTAGCCAAATATCGGTTGATGGTCCTATTCATGCGCTCCACCATTCCATCTGACTGCGGGTGTAAGACAGTAGTCCTGGTCTTCTTAATCCCAAGGATTTGACAGATATTTTGGAACAGATTTGACTCGAAATTGCACCATTGGTCCGAATGCAAGTCTAATGCGACAGGTCCATTCCTTTACTAAAGCATCGGCTACCATAGAGGCTTCCTGATTTGGTAGAGCGTATGCCTCAACCCACTTGCTGAAGTAATCTATTACCACAATGATGTATTCGATGACCAACCATTTGCATTCGCGGTTGCCTCAAACTGACGCCGGTAGACATTCCAAGGCGTTGTACCATAAATATGCGACGGTTTCAGTCGCAAATGGCCAGCCTACCCAATAGAAGCGCCAACCTCACTTGATTTTTCCAACGGAAGTCCATGCTGTCGTTCGTCGATGGTCTTGACGTCTAAAGCGGCAAAATTGCCTTGCACTCCTTCAATTCTGTCCTCCAGAGTTTCTAAAATCCGTTTTTCAAACTCGCAAAATTTTTCCATAACTTGGCAGTATTTTCCCACAACTTCTCTTCTAGTTTGGCTGTACTGTCGTGTAACTCCAAGAGTTTTCCTTCTAGATTGGTACAATTTCCCACGAGCATATTTTCTAACTTGGCTGAGTTTTCTAAAAGATCGGCACAATTTTCCATGAGCTGACAGACACGTATTTTGTTTACCGTCTCCCCAATATGACTAATTTTCTCCTACCTGTGATCATGGGCACGTTGGCCCCATAAACGGACCCTCTGCGTTGCAAGATGATGGGACTCCCACCCGGAGAGCCGCCTTCTCCTCCGGTGCCATTCGCCTGACTCAGGACCCCGATCGTGTCGTCGAACGTCATGGCTTTGATGTTCAGAGAGGCCAAAATAGCCTCTTTATCGGCCAAGGTGGGGTCATCGTTGCTAGGCACTTTGGCGGACAAAATGCAGCACATGTCGCATAGGTTGACGTTTACGGCGCGCAAGTCTGCTCTGCTCAAAGGAGAACCCTGGAAAATACAAAAGGAATAATAATTTATTCACAGTATTTATACAATATTAATTTTGTGGCAAATAGTTGAAAGGGTATAAGTAATTTTTTTTTCGATATTTTTACGTATTTGTTGAGAGAAAGACAATTCAGTAAGGTTGTAAGAGTGAATATATGAAAAAAAGGCCATTAAAATCAGAATCAAAATTGAGGCTAGGATCAAATCCGTCTAATCTCCTTGCTTAAAAAGGCACAAGTTGATTTATGTATATAATAGTTACTTGCACATTCACTAACACACCGTATACTTGTAGGGTGTTAAAAAATAATTTTCTGTTCCCCAAAATGTAGTTTTAGTTGTTTAATAACTTGAGTATGTTTTCCATTTTTTAATTTGTTCGGGCTTATTGATAAATGGTTGTAACACGTAGCTATTGTGTTGCGTGGTTAACAAGAAACCCAATGTGTCCGGTCTTTTGGTTTTATAATTGTAGCAAATGTTCTCATCCACGCTTTCGTTCTAAAACACCATTTAGCTGCAACCTTATCGACGACCCCTGAAAATGACAACGTAGTTTGTCAGAAGCTCGAGATTACCGTCAAAAGAGTTCACTACGCTTTACGTTTTGCCAATTCCCAATAAACAATTTCATTGTATACAGGGTGTCCCGAAAAAAGTATGCAATATTATACCAGCGGTTTCTAGAGCTTAAAATAGGAAGAAAAGTTTATATAAACATAGGTCGACAAACGTCCCCTAAGGACGCTACGGTCTTTTAAAGAGGCTCCCCTGAAGATGGTTTTTCCTTAATATTTCCGAAACGTGTTGAGATAAAGACATACAATTTGGTATTCTAGCCTAGTTTTTTATGCTGGATTTAAAAATATTAACAATTTTAGACAGTTTTGTTTGGAAGCGTATGTAACAGGGGCGGACTCAGGTTATTTTAGCCCCAAAATTTTTGTGTGATTCTATTTTTGAAATTCAATTTTAGAATTTGAAAATTTAGGGTTTTCTACATAAATAAGGTACTCATATTGAATATCGATAAATTGTGCCATTTTTGAATAAAATCAAACTAAAAAATTTGATGATAGGAAATGTACTGCGAATTTAAATGAATTCTTGAATAATTATCTATGGCAACGAAAAAACTAATTTAATAATTGGTAAATATTACATAAATACATATTTCTATTGCAAGATAGCTAACATTTAGGCAAAAACAAAAGAAATAAATGTTTTCTATGTACGAAATTGAAATTTGTTTAAAAACATCACATTTCCTATCATGTGACAAATTTTTTAGTTTGATTTTATTCAAAAATGGCACAATTTATCGATATTCAATAAGAGTACCTTTTTTATGTAGAAAATCCTAGATTTTCAAATTCTAAAATTGAATTTCAAAAATAGATTCACACAAAAATTTTGGGGCTAAAATAACCTGAGTCCGTCCCTGTTACATACGCTTACAAACAAAGCTGTCTAAAATTGTTAATATGTTTAAATCCAGCATAAAAAACTATTCTAGAATACCAAATATTAAGGAAAAACCATCTTCAGGGGAGCCCCTTTAAAAGACCGTAGCGTCCTTAGGGGAAGTTTGTCGACCTATGTTAATATAAACTTTTCTTCCTATTTTAAGCTCTAGAAACCGCTGGTAGAATATTGCACCCTTTTTTCGGTATATGAGTATATATAAACAAGAAGACAAATAATGGGCAAATTCCGCAAAAAGAACGAAAGTGAATACGAGCAGAAAATCGGATAGGTAACCCGAGCGATCCGTATGTCTGCTTGTTGGCTTCATCAGGCTCGAAATGAATGAACTTATGCAACTACAAAAGTAGATACGTGCACCCATATATCCGGATACGGGTGTAATCTGAGGAAACGGAGATGGAGAGGGAAATAAGTTACAAACAAGAGCCAACCTACACATTGTAGTATAAGATTATTTTACTATTATTATTCTATTTGTTATATACCTTTTTCCGCATGATTATTTTCTCCCTGTAGATCTTTTGGGCTTGCAGTATCACAGCAAGTGGCTATAACCGGCCGCGTGGTTGTGGTTAGTTGTCGAGGTCTTGTAGCCATTTTGCAAAAACCATCATAGAAAACTTTTTCGCTTGGAATACTTTTTAAGCCCAGGGTCAAATTATTTTCAGATTCACAATCTCTACAGATACTCACACACACAGATATAAATCGAATCGAAACACTTACATTTAAAACTGATATCTTCGGAAGATTCTGCAACATTTTCCATTCCCTCCTGATGTAATCTACAGAACCGACTATCACGACGTGTTTCAATTCGTGATAGTGAAAATTACTCGCTCTCAAGGGCATCACAAGATTTCTGAGTCCTATCAAAGGTGAATCGGGATCAGCAAACAAGCAAACTACTACATGACCGTTTAGGACTGTCATTGCAGCTTGATTCCTATCCTGGAATCGGAAAAAAGATTCATCATGACTGTCAATCTTTTCACATATTCATATAAAAACTCAATTAATGCAATTAATGCAACTTATATTTTCATGTTTTCGAGCAGAAATAGAAAGTATTTACCAATATACATTCTTCCAAATTTTTGGCGGGACTCCAGTGGAACATCCCGGTGCTATCGTACTTCATTTCAGTCTTCTCGAAATCGAAATCCTTGGCTTGGTCATCGGCAAGACCAACAGGTAGGGCAACACCGTTGTTGTTCTGATTTGTTCCGCTACTCGTTCTGCTTGTAGGCCTGAAAATGTGTTTTTTTTTCATTAAAATACGATTCGATAGTTACAGAAACCTGCCTTGGAATAAGCCACCACAGAAATTGTTTTAAGAGGTTGCCATTCTTACCAAAGCTACGCGATAAACTGAGTTGCTCTATATGGGACGTGGAATAATGGTTCTCTAAGCACGTCCAAAAATTCAAAATGATATGAATTTTAAAAATAAAGATCTTGTAATTGAAAATGGGCAAAACTGGCACACGAATCAAGGCAGGTCTTTTTCGGAAAATGTGTTTCTTAATACAAACTTGCACTAGATACTAGCATATATTACGATCTAAGTAAAAATTTGGCAATGTAATGCTAGGATACAAAGCGTTCCTTAATAGCGTAGTAACATTTAAGCATGTTTTTCGTAAAATGATCTGACAAATCATATCCACGTTATTAAGGGACACCCTGTATATAGTATCATCTATAAAATAGGTACAAAGGTAGGTAAATCCACAACTCACATTTAACATACTGAAACTGACAGAGGTGGAAAAAGCTAAGTTATTTAACAAAAATCTCTTAGAGAATAGGTAGCTTGAATCCTCTACAGTTCTTGCACTATCCTATTTTGAGAGGACTGTTTTATTGTGTTCAGGCCTCGTGTCGTAAATGGTATATAGGTAGTACCCCCTTCCCAGCTGAACCCACTTGAGATTCTGTGATTGTTCCCAATGAATTACAGGTGTTGGTGGTCTCCTGTCTTCGGATGAGGAAATCAGCAACCCCCGATTGGAACAGACAACATCCGGATCGGGTTGAATAATATATAAATTGGGATTCTCAGTTTTTGAAAGCCTCGGGGCCACTCTTGTGGCAACCTCTTTTAGCGTTACCGTACTTTATGCCCAAATATCTGTGCAGCCAAAGTACTCATTTGTTGTTGAGTACCTAGTCTGAATAAAATTATGTCTTTTTTCGCATTTTCCACACTTCCCAAGTATCCACTGCGAACAATATCAACATTTGTCACCGTAAAGAAACTTTATCATGCTGCCACTGTTCCCACTATACTATATAGATGGATAAAGTCTGTTTCAGCAGAGACAGAGAGTGATCTAGGCGTATCACAATTGACAGCCCACAGTACATGAAATGCGTCTACCTCTACGCCGGCTAAATTATAGTACGCTCAGTGCTCAGACCCGCGGCGGACTGCAGCGCGTTTTCTGGGCACCTCATAAATCCTTATGCTAAACAATAACTTTGCTCAAGTAGCATTTGAGGTAAACCAAGTCTCCATGCCTTAAACACAAAACTATCTTATTAGGTTGTTTGCTTATTACCATGTAATGGATGGAAATTTTTGAACCAGGTGCATCATATTACCTGTTGCTAAAAGCCCTAACTTGAGTTGTTACAATGGAATGTACATTTAGTTGACACATACATTGTGTACAATTTGTGTAGTTGTGTACAACTTATCGTTTACTATTGCGGAGCGTTTTTAGTAGGTTGTTGCAACTCGCTTTGGACATCTATATGAGTAGTTTACGAGACGAGGCCGGAACATAATTACATGATTACCTGACTTTGTTCGATCTTAACTATGTGAAGGCCTTGTCGGAGTAAATAGCTCTCTCCTATGTATCACCCAGTTGTTGCAACAACTTGGCTTTGAAGAAAATGAGAGTTCATAGGCGGCCAGGGAGCAGGAAGGCGCGGTGAGCAGCATTCCTTCGCTGCGCTTTGAACTCGCCTTCACCTAATTAAGATCGAACATCACTGACCGGTAAGTTCGTTTGATCATGTAATTTTAAGACTTAGATGAAATCTTTTGTCATGCGAACAATAATGAACATGCCAAATATCCAGAGAGGTTAAACAAAAAAAGAGGATAAGCCCTATTGAAATATTCGTTTATGGCACATTTGGTGGAGCTATCAGCAGATAGCTTTAGAACATTGCTTGATATTTATCATTATATTTAATTTAAAAACTAAGTGCATTCTGTAAAAAAATAAGTGCACTTACCTTTAAAAATTTGAAATTTTGCATCTTTACTACTGACCAAGGGAATCGTAGATTCTCCAACTCCATCAAGGAGAATAAGCGACAAAATAGAGTCAACTAGATTGACAGTAACTCCTCGGAATTAATATAAATGAATTTGAAATTGGAGGAACACGTCACCAGTGATTTCAAATTTTTTTTTACCATGCCTTAAAATGATTAAAATATTGAGAAGCATTTGGAAGCGGTATTTATGTTTTCAGGGTCTCCTTTTTTTGACTACGTCTTAAAAACATCGTCTAATTCATAAAGCTTGTTCGCACACAAAAACTGAGAAAATATGATTCCCGAAAACCCGTCGGGGTTGTACGCCACGAATGCCTAACATGGTATGTGGTAATTGCCCGACGTAATTGACTGTCGTGATTAGACGCCGTGATTGCTCGACAGGAATGCCTGTCGTGACTGCCCGCCGTGATTAACCGTCGATATTTTCCATCGTGATTACCTATCTAGAATGCACGTCGTGTTTGCCCATCATGATTAATCGGCGAGATTACCCATCGTGATAAATCGTCCAAAAACGCCGAAGCGTTATTTCCCGACTGGGTTGCCCGCCGTGATTGTTCGTCCGACTCTTGCTAGGATTCCCCGTCGTGATCAATCGTGGAAATTATCCGTAGAGATTAACAGCTCGTCAGGATTAGTCGCTAGGATTGCCGTCATGATTGTTCGCCTGGATTGTCTGTGGTGATTACCAACCGTGATTGCCCGTCGCGGTTCACCGTCGTGAATGCTCGTCATGATTGCTCGTCGAGTTTATACGTATAGAATGCACGTCGTGGTTGTTGCTCAGGAAAGCCCATCGGTAATGCACGTCTTGATTACACGTCGAGTTTGCTTGTAGGAAATGCACGTCGTCTTTAACCATCGTGATGATCAACGAAAAAGGATTAGACAGACAGACCGACGGAGATGAGTGACACGATGTTCGTGATGTAAATGTCATGTAACATCCAAAAGAATATAATTCATTTTTGAAATTTTTCAAGAGGATCAAATCAACAAAATTCCAAATTTTTATAGTGAATGTGCGAATAAAAACAGTCTAATTGTCAAAATTACCTAGTGTGTGCCATACAGTTGATAACTGCATGAATAAGAGTAGTTAAAAATGAATTGAATGAATTGAAACAAAAAAACGTCGAAACATTGAAGGGTATCGTTCCATTACCTAGTATTTTTTAAACTTTAAAAAGCTATCCGATATCCTGGATTAGAATGTTTGCATGCATGAACAATAAATTGAAGAAACTAGTAACATAGCTTTCATCCGCCTCAAAAGTTCACCCAATAGTTGCTGTATGAACTTTATACAGGGAGCGGCAGAGAGGATGGACGGTTTTAAAAAAATCATAATATAGTTAATTTTTACTCGAAAACAAATTTATTGATGGAATCAGGTTCACAAGGAAATAGCATTTGAGACAGTCAAGTGTGGAAAATCACATCAGGCATGTGCTGGCCGAAATCGTTGATGCAGTGCTGGAGGCGTTCTTGGAAGTTCGCGTAGATTCGCTCCAACATCGCTCTCTCAACCTGGGCGACTTCCACGCGAATTTCGCCCTTCAATTCGTCCAGAGTTCGGGGCTTGTTCGCGTATACTCTAGCCTTGAGGTTCTCATTTTGATCGATCAGTGCTTCTATCTCACGTGCGAAGTTCATTCGTTGTGCATAATCTCCGGGCTGTAACTGTTGCACAATGGCCAATTTGTAGGGAGATCCATATGCAAAATTCACCTTACCGAACGATCACTAAGGCGAAGTGCAGCAGCATGTTTCCGGGCAGATCGAGTCGGACTGCGAAGAAAGACCTGTCGAACGCGTTCAGCATTTTCAGGAGTTCGAACTGTTCGCGGCGCTCCTCTTGGTCTTCTGTTGATCAGTTCACCTCGCCTGCGAAGTGATTCGACCCAACGAAGGATGGTGTTTCAATAGGGAACAGCTCTATTCCGATGAATGTTGAAGTGGCGACGAAACTCACGCTGTACGACGAAACAATCATAGGTGAAAACGCGGTGCTCCACCGTCCAAGGCTCCATAACTACAACTGGTAAAATAATGCTAGGATCTCACGAGTCAAACGGCACCCTCCCCACCTCTCTCGTAGATGGAGGCGGAGAGTACTACCCATCCCAAAAACGTCCGTCCTCTCTGCCGCACCCTGTACATAGCAAGACGTTCTGTGTACAACTTCTACACAGTCGCTTGTATGTGTGTGATGTCAGTCTTGTCTAAGAACAGTCCGGTAATTTAAAAAAAAAGGTAACCAAACCTAAACTAGAACAGATATGTGACCCGAGTCCGAGTTTAAAATCTCGATTTCTAGTTTCGCGGTGCAACTTTTAACTCTACTATAAAATATGAACTTCCGCATTCTGAACCCTGTGAAAGTTTCTCTTTATCGACCTGTGCTGACCATTTCCGTCATACACTAATGTAAATGTTCCATTCATAAATGTACAAGTCCATATTTTATATTTTTCTATGGTAAAGGAGGTACACTACATCAAGCACTAGGTATATATGCAAGCATCAATAAATACGGAAAGAAAGTATAGTGTATGTAAGAGAGTATAGCTTAAGCGTACATGAGCTTTTTCACTTCATATGCTAGATGATAGCCGGCATAAGTCGTAGTTTCCTGCTCCTGTGGTCTGAAAACAGCACACTGCTGATAGCATACCATCTCTTCATACTCAAGTTAGATTTTATCAAATAATACGGCATTATTACACCATATTACAACCAACAACTTTACGTATATTACTATCAAACTCTCATTTTGCTCTAAAATTGCAATTTTGAAGATTTTGCACACATTAACCCATTAGCTTCTAGCGCTACATTTATGTAACGAAAAATAGTCTTACAAATGCAACCCTTCTTACGCGTGACGTGAATGCAGGGCTGCTAACATCTACACCCGCTCAAAAAGCGTTGATCTAGGAATTTATTTAGTTGTGTTTATCAAGCCTCATGTTGTTGTTTCCAAATATCGCCCCGCCAAATTTTGTTAGTGCAAGAATAGGCATCAAAAATGGACTTCATCGATAAGGAGTAAGTATAGTTGTTAGATTCAATAACAAATTTGATAGAGTTGCAAAGGTAGCATCTGTAGATGTGGTGTAAAGTATTGTGCCATTACCACGTGAACTTGTTTGTTTTATACTTGTGTTAGTAAACCGTCAACTTTGCTGTTACATATACGTAACGCTAGGACATAGTGTGGTCATTTTATCTGCTTTTATGTCATTATCAGTCTTATGAATATTTGTACTTTTTACGCAACAGCATTTTTTTAGGGGACTTAAAGATATCCTACAGAAGGGGGAGACTGTTCAAGAAGCCATAGATATAGTCTTTGGAGAAAATGATGACTTAGACTACCCTGTAGAGGCAATTTATATTGCGCCACCGGAACCTGCTGTCCTGACTGATAAAGATTCTGGAGACGAGGACGAAGGACCATTTGAGCAAACGTCAGTTACTTGCAGAAGCTGAAGTTAGATTTGCTGGAGGAGTGACGTTAGAAGATACTCATCAATAACATGCAGACTCTAATGGGGATGGTTCTTCATCAAAAAAGGATTCAATTCCAGCTGATACTGTATACCCAAAGACTTCTGATACTCGGGAGTGGATTTCGGGAGACTTCACTTACAACAAACGGCCATTTCCTGAAGCAGATTACTCAGCATTTGAAAACAAATCAGTTGTAGATATATTTGAAATGTTTATAGACGACGACGTAATACTATTCCTAGTGCAAGAAACTAACAAATATGCCCTTTTCAAAAACCTACCGGTCCCAAGAGTGTCTCAAGAGGAAATGAAATGTTTCATCGGTATATTACTTATTAGCGGTTATAACGATCTGCCCAGGAAGCGAATGTACTGGGAGCAAAACCTTGACACCAGAAATGAACTTGTCTATAATTCTATGAGGCGTAACCGATTTGAGCAAATTTTTAGGTTTCTACATTTGGCATCTAATGAGAATATTGACAAGAATGGCAAACTTTGGAAGCTCAGACCGTTTATCAACAAAATAAAAGACAGGTGTAGAAAGTATTTTGTTCCAGAAGAGGATCTATCATTTGATGAGAGCATGGTCAAATATTACGGTAAACATAGCTGTAAACAGTTTTGGAGAGGCAAACCTGTAAGATTCGGCCATAAGGTTTGGTGTCTGAACACCGCAATGGGCTATTTGGTCGATTTTGAAATATATCAAGGAAAATCGGTTACACCTGGTAGCGTAATAGAAAGGAACTTCGGAAAAGCGGCAGCACCTTTGGTGAAAATGCTAGACGGCTACCCGATAATATCAAGTCCTTTCCATTCTCATTTTATTTTGATAATTTATTCACTTCCTCTAGTTTGTTGTCGTACCTGCGTTTGAAAGGATATGGAGGAACAGGGACTATGAAAGATAACCGTATACCTAAGGGCTGTCCGTTATTGGATAAGAAACATCTGCAGAAAAAGGAAAGGGGGTATTTTGAAAATGTAATCAGTAGGACTGATGGTATACTAGTAGCAAAGTGGGTCGACAACTCTGTTGTTTCTGTTGCTACAAACAGATGTGGCGTTACTCCTGCGACAAACGTCAAACGATATTCGTAGAAGGAAAAGAAGCACATACAAGTAAGTCGACCGGCACTACTTGCTGAGTATAACAAAAAAATGGGTGGTTCTGATCGGATGGATAAAAACATTGGTCAACACAGGATTCAAATCAGAAACAGGAAATGGTACTGGTCGCTATTTACATGGCTTCTTGATGTTGCAGTCAACAATGTATGGTGTTTATATAGAAAAGCGAACAAATCTCAAATCCCTCAAATAAACTTTCGAAGGACCGTCGTACAAGTTTATCTGAAGAAGTACTCACTAGCACCTAAAGGCGGTGGAAGACTTGCATCGCCATCTTCCTCTGTTCAAGCGGTGGTTGATGACGTTAGATATGATAGAATGGATCACCTTGTGGAAAAAATTCCTAACGACAAAAGAAGACGTTGTGCCGGGAACCTTTGCAAGAGCTCAAGGAGGACTCAATGTAAAAGGTGTAACGTAGGCCTGTGCATCGACTGTTTTTGTTCCTACCACACAAAACGGTTTATAAGCTGACCATCTAGATTGCGTTTATTTGAATAAATACACATAGAACTAATAAAGTTGCATTTCCTTTTTATATCTCGTAAGCTCCTAGTGTTACATATATGTAACACCCTATACTGAGCGATCTCAGAATCCGATCGCAGAAATTCCTGCCATTTCATAATCCAGTTTGATATATTGCCCAAAGAAAACCGGTTTTGTGAACAAAACTGAAAAAATGTTAATTTGGGTACTAATGGGTTAAGGCACAAGAGTGGGTGAGCAAAGTATATCAAAACTAAAAAATAATCTTCATTGTAGAGTAGTGGCAAACAGTGCATTCGACAATATGACGGGTAAAAGTGTTGGTTGTTCTGTTCAAATATAGTGCAATGATATAGAACGAGAGTTATCTGTATAGAAAGGAAACTTTAACAATCACGAATTACTGATATTTTTTTATATGTATGAATCACGTAATCTCAGATTCGATAATTCTCGCGCTATAGAATTATTTCAGTAATTTAAGAACACAACTAAACAAAATCAAAATGTTCTGTCCTCTGAGAATATAATTGAGATCGTTGGCTACGAAAATCGGTCTTCTCTCAATTTTGCCTGACATGCTTTAAAATTTAACGGATGGTGATTTTTGTTATATTTGCACCAGAAGAATAAGATTTTCGCAACTTGTGGATCTACTCGTATTATAATTTTCAGTGAACGTAATTCCGACGTGCGAATTTGATTCATGATACGATTTGTCTGCAAAATCAGTTAGGTCATTCAATCAACATGATCAAGAAAAACACCGATCCAAATTGAGAATGATCGTAAAAAATATCTACTCATTTTTGCAGTACAGGCCTGACACCAACGTAGCTTCCTTTTTCTATTTTATTAACTTGACCTGTATCTATGTCTGTAACGGAGCCTTTCAACCTATTTTTATCAAATTCAACAAGTCTGATTAACTTGAAAATTTGCAAATGGGTTAAGGGTCGATTTTGAAAATTTCCAAAAAGTTTGATATTTGGAATAGATTCGGATTTGAAAATTTGAAAAATAATTGGAAAGTTCTAAAATTTCGAAAATAATTTGAAGATTTACGACAAAAATTTGTAAATTTTGGATATTTCGAATTTTGAGAAAATTTAGAAGTTCTGGAGAAACATTGCAAATTTGGAAAGGTTATTTGAATTTGAAAATTTGTAGACAAAAAAATATTTGTTGTCGTTTTCATAAAATAAATTACAGTTTAAAAAAACTTAAAACACGTTTCAATAGCAAATCGAACTAAAATGTAGAAAATAATTTATAAAAAATTGCGGTGCAAATAAATATATTTTCATAATGACTCCAATTTTGTGAAAAAACTAAAAAAATAATCGTAACATTTAATATCAAGTACCCCACGCTTTTTCTATAATTGATTTTTTTGAAAATTACTTACCACCCAGTTCGATTTGCTATTGAAGCGTGTTTTCTGGTTTTTAAGCTATAATTTATTTAGAATGCTACTCCATCCAAAATCAAAATTACCCATTTTGTATCTTAGGTCTTGCTTGCTGAACGACCTCATACTTTGAAATTCACAAAACCATATATATCAGTTATAAGGTAGCAATGTAAGTTAGTAAGTTAAAGTAATGAACATCTTTTCTATGAAATAGATATATCCGCAAAGGGCAAAAATATAATACCTCTTATTATCTACACCTCTTTTTTAAGATAGACAGTGTTTTGATACAGAACAGTGAAAGAAACTATGGTTCAAAAATATCATGCAGTGCCAAATTCGCACTATAATATTTAAATTTTGGTGCTGGATAAAAATATGATATACTTCTAATTGAAATAGATATTAGACTGCCAAAAATGTCACCTTGTAAGAAAAAGTGCCTTGTACAGGAAAAAGTTGGACAACAGATAAAATTAAGCTCTTTTTCTAGATATATATATATATATATAGTGCATTGTCTTTATATTACCTAGAATTATACCCAGGAGATGTGACAGTATCTGCAGATGTCCTATTAACGTTTGGCTTCACTTTGTTCACTTGCTTTGTAGAATTCACCATGTTTGCAGTTGGTATAGAACTGTTCCTGTGATTTCTGTGAGCCACTACAAAACATTGAAAGAAAACTTGTTTGAATATGCGTAGTAGTCCATGAAATAGAAAATGTACAGTATTTATAGTTTTACGAAGACACCTGAGATCTTCCCTGGACAAAATGTACGTTTAAAGGCAAACAATTCATGGCCCAATGTCTATTACTTTTTTGCCACATAAAGTGTGCTATTGTCACGAATCTCTTGCCAAATCTAAAAGACGATGATATCCTGCTTCTGCAATTCAGCCCTTAACATGAGGCTTTGGAAATAATATCCAATCACCATTTGTTGTTGTTGAGACATTTTTTTCAACTTTGCCCCCAAGCAACTAATAATAAGATAGTAGTTATTTTTTAAAATTCTAATAGATGACAATATTATCTCTGGAAAACTGTTTAGATTCCTCAGATCCCATCTCATACCCTTTTGTACATATCGCTCACATGCCTATCAACCTAACACACAATCTGTCCCTATTTTCTATGCCCATTTAAACGTTACTAAATGCTATTAAAAACTTACAATGCATATCATCATGTCGATTCATATCACCTGCAAACAAAAAGCAATCAATTAAATAATGCAAATTATCACTTACGTTAAAAAATTGCAACTATGCACTATTTAAATTACTGATGTTAGAGCAAGTTACAGCTACGTTGTAAACATAGTCAGGAAAGAACATTAGGGAATGACAAAATATTTGTTGAAATTTGAAACGTTCATTATACAAAACATTATTATGTGAAAGTTCTACCTTATTCCTATAGTATCGCTAACTGAAATTGCAAGAGAGGGTGAAAACTGCTTCCACCCCGACAAAAATTATGGCTGAATTTTTCCACAGACCTCCTAATGATTTTTGTATACTTCATTTCTTGTCTCTTTTAAAAACAGGTTATCTCGCCTAGTATTCAAGAAAAATAGTTTTTCAGAGTTGGATTTTCAAAAATTTTAATCAAGTTTTAAAATCTAATAGGCATGCAGTTGGCGGAAATGTGGGATGATATGTTAGTTATTTTTGACAACAAGCTTCATAAAGTAATCTTTGAGTTTAATCTTGATGGTTAATTTGTTGTTTGTTCTTCATAAATTTTAAAATAATTAACGTTCGAGCTTATGTTTGGTTAAGTTGTAATAAGTAATATCATATTTGTTTATTTTTCCTAACTACACTCAAATAATGCACCTCCATTTTTTTTGTCGTAAGCTATTCGAGATGGACTGTCCATATATATATATGTATATGGACTGTCCATATATATACAGGGTGACTTTGAAGTTGAGTCATTTATTTTAACAGTGAGTAGACCTGATCAAAAGAAATGTTTTTTTCCTTTACCATTTTTCTGGTAAAATTAAAGTAACAAAGTTATAGCCCTTTGGAAGTTTGAGTAGCGCCCTGTCTCAATGTGCTCGTGTTTGGCGACAACGGATATAATCCGCCGTATCGGTTCATCGCATCGGAAACAAAACAGCGAAAGAATTTGGAACGAATTATTTCATTCATTTGTATACAGTCAGTGTCAGTGAATAGTTGTATCTGTTGCGTGGCTCAAACGAAATAAAAAATGGCACATGTTTATGCGGATCGGTTTCCCAATCGAGTGCAACCAACCCCTCGTGCCTTTGTTAATGTAGTACAACGGGCTCGTGAATCAGGTGACTTAAGACGATCAAATACAGGTCTGCACTGAAATACTTGTCGGGAGGATACTTTACAAAACAAGGTAAACATTTTTTTTTAATTTTTTTTTATTTTTACACACATATTTTGGTTTATCTTCCTTCTACAATCATTATCTGAAAATTAATGACTCAACTTCAAAGTCACCCTGTATATATACAGGGTGACTTCGAAGTTGAGTCATTTATTTTAACAGTGAGTAGATCTGATCAAAAGAAATGTTTTTTTCCTTTACCATTTTTCTGGTAAAATTAAAGTAACAAAGTTATAGCCCTTTGGAAGTTTGAGTACTGCCCTGTCTCAATAATAATATTATGTGCTCGTGTTTGGCGACAACGGATATAATCCGCCTTATCGGTTCATCGCATCGGAAACAAAAAAGCGAAAGAATTTGGAACGATGTTTTTACAATTATTTCATTCAGTTGTATACAGTCAGTGTCAGTCGGTAGTGAATAGTGGTGTCTGTTGCGTGGCTCAAACGAAATAAAAAATGGCACATGTTTATGCGGATCGGTTTTCCAATCGAGTGCAACCAACCCCTCGTGCCTTTGTTAATGTAGTACAACGGGTTCGTGAATCAGGTGACTTAAAACCTCACATATGGACGGCATGCCGGTGCTCCAAGACCTCACGATCAAATACAGGTCCGCACTGAAATACTTGTCGGGAGGATACTTTATAAAACAAGGTAAAATTTTTTTTTTATTTTTACACACATATTTTGGTTTATCTTCCTTCTACAATCATTATCTGAAAATTAATGACTCAACTTCAATGTCACCCTGTATATATATACAGGGTGACTTCGAAGTTAAGTCATTTCTTTTAACAGTGAGTAGATCCGATCAAAAGAAATGTTTTTTTTCCTGTAACATTTGTCTGGTAAAATTAAAGTAACAAAGTTATAGTCCTTTAGAAGTTTGAGCCCTGTCTCAATAATAATATTATGTGCTCGTATTTGGCGACAACGGATATAATTCGTCTTATCGGTTCATCGCATCGGAAACAAAAAAGCGAAAGAATTTGAAACGCTTATCACGATGTTTTTAGTTGTATTCAGTCAATGCGTCAGTCGGTAACGCGTGAGTGAATAGTGGTGTTTGTTGCGTGGCTCAAACGAATTAAAAAATGGCACATGTTTACGAAAATGGTGAACTTGTGGACATGATTCTTATTTACGGGGGGGGAGGGGGAGTCTTTACAAAATGCTGCCGCGGCATCACGGATTTATACGGATCGGTTTCCCAATCGAGTGCAACCAACCCCTCGTGCCTTTGTTAATGTAGTACAAAGGGCTCGCGAATCAGGTGACTTAAGACCTCACAGGAGAGGGCATGCCGGTGCTCCAAGACTGCACGATCAAATACAGGTTCGCACTGAAATACTTGTTGGGAGGATACTTTATAAAACAAGGTAACATTTTTTTATTTTTATTTTTATTTTTACACACATATTTTGGTTTATCTTCCTTCTACAATCATTATCTGAAAATTAATGACTCAACTTCAAAGTCATCCTGTATATATATATATATATATATATATATATTATGAGCGGTAGTCATTGCCAAAGCCAACGACTAGTTGGGTACAAAATACAATTAATTGTTAATTGTCTGACAATTTAAATCTAATCTCTTTGCTAGCATCACAATTGTGTTTTCAGAATCCTGATGAAGGCTCCATAGAGAATGCCGAAAGCTTGATTTATCGTCAAAAGAGTCAACTTGAGTCTATTTTCCCAATTAACAATTAATTGTATTTTTATATATATATATATATATATATATATATATATATATATTATATATACAACAAGTAGGAAAATAATGGGCAAAATCCGCCCGAAATGAATGTACATATGCAATTAAACTACAAAAGTAGATACGCATGTCCACACATCCGGATTTTCTGCTCGAATCCACTTTCATCCTTTTTGCGGATTTTGCCCATTATTTTCCTACTTTTTGTTATATACCTTGAATGAATGAATCTTGAAATTAGAGTCATTCCGGCCACCATAAGGAGCCAGTGCATAGGCCGCTTAAGCGGGCCCTTATGTACCTCTACAATCCTTAGGTCTTGCCCTTTTAGCGAAGTTGAGAATCGCCTTGAGTCCAAGCTCCTTGACGTCCTGAGGGCCCAAAGTAATGGACCCCAGTATAGTCTGCCTAGAGTAGCTCAGAGCTTCACAGCGACACAAAACGTGCGCCGAGGTCTCTTCCTCTACCCCGCAGCGTTCACACAAGGGATCCTCAGCCACCCCCATCACGTGCAGGTGACGCCTTAACGTGTTATGACCAGACAACAGTCCCACCAGCAACCTTAGGTTGGCTCTATCCAGAGATAGGCAGAAGCGTCCATCCTTAGCACTGGGCCCTTCAATGGGTTCCCGTGCCTGGCGGAGATGTCTGGAGATACTTCTCCATTTCTGAGAGTGTTGTCTTGCAACCCACGTCTCCTAGCTTAATGCGCGGTCACTCCTAGAGCTGGCGCAGGACCAACGAGCTTGCTGGCTGATCCTGTCTTCGCCAGATTGTCTGCCGTCTCATTGCCCCTTATCCCACCGTGCCCCGGTAACCCATATTAACGATACCGGATGCCTCGCTGTGAGGCAATCCAGAGCCTCCCTGCATTGCAATATAAGACTAGCAGTAATCTTACAGGCAGTTAGTGCTTTCATTGCAGCCTGGCTGTCGGATAAGATTATTGTTCTTCTCCTAGGCCCACCCTCCTCCTGAATGTGAGATACACAAGCCAGAATCGCAAAGATTTCCGCCTGGAAAATAGTGGTGTATCCACCGAGAGCAGAGAGCCTAGTTCTAGGTCCAGAGACCCCAGCACCTGAGCCCTCTTCGGTGACCGAGCCGTCCGTCCCTATACCAGACCTGCCCGCTCACTCCGGAGGGTCCCCGGCTACCGGCGTCCCACTCCTCCCTCGTTGGATACTCCACAATAAACTTGCGGTTGAAGCGATATTTAGGGGTAATACGATCACCCGTGCTTAGAAGGACGGGGTCCTCCCTTTGCAATTCGACTAAGATGGCAGTATGCCGCTTGACAGGATTCAAGAAAGCCCAGCTACCATGACACCACAGTCGATGAGCGACTACTCTCGCTTCACCGCGGATCACCAGATCCAACGGTGGGAGATCCAACAGAGCTTCCATTGCACTCAATGGTGTTGTAATACTAATACAGGCCAAACGCTGAATTTTATTGAGTTTGGCCTTAGTTGTCTCAGTTCTAATGCAAGGCCACCAGACCAGGGAGCCGTACAAGAGAGATGGACGTACTACCGTCGTGTAGAGCCAGTATACCACTTTGGGTTTAAGCCCCCACCTTACACCGACAACACCTCTACAAGCCCTCATCGAATTGCGAGCGTTGCTAACCTTGTATTAAACATGCTCTCTCCATATACCTTTCTCCGCATGATCATTTTCTCTTTGTAGATCCTTTGGGCTTGAAGTACCACAGCAAGTAGTTATAACCGGCCGCGTGGTTGTGGTTAGATGTCTCCTTGAAACTTCTAGGTCTTTTAGCCATTTTATACTACAACGTGTAGGTTGGCTCTTGTTGTGGACTTCGTGTGTCGATTTTTTCCCTCTCCATCTTCGTTTCCTCAGGTTACACCCGTATCCGGATGTGTGGACATGCGTATCTACTTTTGTAGTTACATATGTACATTCATTTCGGCCCTGATGAAGCTAACCAGCAGAAATACATATCGCTCGGGTTACCTATCCTATTTTCTGCTCGAATCCACTTTCATCCTTTTTGCGGATTTTGCCCATTTTTTCCTACTTTTTGTTATATACCTTTCTCCGCAGGGTCATTTTCTCTTTATAAATATATACAGGGTGTTTCAGTTTATTGTTGCATAACTTTAAGATTCGATAGAACTTTTAAAATTAATGCATAAAGTCTATATAAATATGGGTCGAAAAATGCGTTGCTTCCGAAATACAGGGTGTTTAAATTTACTTTCTAAAATAGTTTTTCTTAAATATTTCGAACAATATTTTATGTATAAGAGTGAAAATTGGTATACAGGGGTTTTTTGGTACGACAAAACTAACCATGGGCATAGTTTTACTGTAGCCGCTAGGGGGCGCTCTCTACTGTACCTGTAGTGTATTAAAATGACCAAACATTTTTTCTTAGTGCAATTTTTTGCTTTTTGAATAAAAAAACTGATTCTTCGCACTTTTCAACATAAAAAAGCTCTCCTGTGAGTTTTTGTTATAGTTAGCCGTTTTTGAGATATTTCGACGCGTTTTTAATTATTTATGGGAAAATAATATTTTTTTTATATTTTTGATTTGGGCATTACAAGTAATTAAAATGATCGTTTATATTGTGTTTTTGAACACAGCAATAATTCCTAACTCCAAATAAACACAAAAAAACAGAATATTAATTTGTTTAATTTTCCAATATTATTTTTAACAAATTAAATTAATTATTTACAACTAAAATGCTATTGGATAGTTAGGACAAACATACAAAATCTAAAGTAGTTGCTCGAAATGTAAATACAATTGTACAATACACAATTCACATCTACGAATGATCGAACGTGGTATAGCGTTATTCAAATAAGCTCTTATTTCATCACATGCATTCCTGATTCTGTCAATTAGCATATCTCTTGTGGTTACGGGAGTCTGGTACACTTTTTCTTTTAGAAATCCCCACACAAAGAAATCTAATGGATTTAGGTCAGGGGATCGTGAAGGCCAGGCGACTGGTCCTCCACGGCCGATCCACCTTTATGGATAATTTTCGTCCAGCCAGCTTCTAACTATTCTCGAATAATGAGCTAGACAACCATCAAGCTGGAACCAGGCCAATCTTCTTAAATCTAACATAACATCATCCCACATATTTGCATGTTCAGCCTTTAAAAATTCCAAGAAGGTCGCGGCATTTAACCTTGCAGGCAAAAGGTAGGGTCCAAATAGTCGATTACGGTAGATACCAATCCACACGTTCACACTAAATTCATGCTGAAAATTTCTTTCCCGAACTGCATGCTGATTTTCATGCGACCAAATATGTTGATTATGAAAATTTACCACTCCACGTCTAGTGAAGCATGACTCATCGGTCCATAAAACGTTACTTAAAAACTCCCTATTATTATCAGTTCTATCAAGAATCCACTGACAAGATGTGATTCTTCGTTCTCCGTCCCCTGGCTGTAGTCCTTGCACAGGTTGCAAATGGTAAAGACGTCTAGGGTCATTTCTAAGAAACCGGGGAACATGGCTTGCTGAAATTCCAAACGCACCAGAAACTCTCCTAACACTTGTGGTCGGATCTCTATCAAACTCACGCAGAATCATACGGGTAAATCTGCGCTGACGAATATTTATGTTTTGATCCCTTTGGAGATTTCCAAAACCATTTTCAATTATTTGGCGATGCACTCTTACAAATACTGAGCGAGTTGGATGTCGTCTGATTGGAAATCTTCGTGCGTATTATCTGGCTGCTTCTGCTGCGTTTCCATTTACAAAGCCATACACAAAATGAATATCCGCTAACTCTTGATTGGAGAATAAAAATGGTATTTTTATAAAACTTACAAAAAAAACAGGTAAAAGAAACTAAATTTCGTGCATTCACAATTGCAAAAAACCTTTCAGGTTTCAACAGACAACAAAACTAACTGTCAACTAATTGACGTTTAACCTTATTCTGCTTTCAATTTCAAAAATATTTGCAGGCACAGCCTACTTCTAAAAATTATCGAAATATTGACTTTTTAACGTTATTTTATCATAAATAGTTAAAAATGCATCGAACCTTAAAAATCGAAATATCTCAAAAACGGTTAACTATAGGGTAATTCCGGTAGAGATCGACCACCGGGAGAGACCGACCACTGCCGGTAACTTAACCACAAAGCAATAGATGAATCCGTGACTCACATGTATGATGCGATTAGTTGACCTTGTTACATGGAACACGTAAACAGTACCTAGTATAAATGTACAAATTAAATTTAAAAATTTGTGCAAACTTGACAATTTTTTGACTGATTTACTGTGTTCGTGATATTTTAAAGACGGGTAAGTTTAATTGAACTGTTTCAATACTGGATGATAAAATATGCATCAAACTATAACATAACCCCAAAAATGTAGGCATTTATCATTTTTCCTTCGGTTAACAAGGTGGTCAATCTCTCCCGTAACTTTGGTAGAGTACGACCACATCAATCCGGGAGAGACCGACCATGGAAATAATAATAGTAATAATGAAATATTCGGCGGTCTGAAGGAAATTAGTGATACAATAAAGCTCAATTTGAAAAAATAAATTTATTGTAAAATAATATTGTTACAGATTAACAAAAATACCCACGACTTACAAAAGGAAAAATGAAGAGAGAGCTAAATGGAGTGCCGGTTCTTTAAGAAATGGAATTGAATGTGTACAAAATCGTACAGTGGATGTAAATGAAGCCGCCAGACAATTTGGAATACCTAAAACAACGCTAAAAGATAGGATTAAGAAGGGGGACGCAATAAAACAACACAGATTAGGTCCGTCATCAGCGTTGGGAGAAGATGCAGAACCAAAATTTCATGCGACACATAAAAAAATAGCAAACATTTGGATTTGCACCAGATCGGGAGTCCGTCAGAATATGGGCTTTTCAACTTGCAGAAAAATTAAAACTGAAGCACACGTTTAATAAAGAAAGAGGCAAGGCCGGTTATGATTGGCTTCACTTGTTTTTACGTCGACATCCTGATATATCGATTAGAAAAGCCGAATGAATTTCTATTAACCGAGAGACCGGAATGAACTGTCTGTCTGTGAAACACTATTTTACCCTTTTAGAAAAGTTCCCAAAACTAACGCAAAAGCAGTAGTTAAAACACGAGGTAGGCAGCTTGCAACTATTTTAAACAGTTCACAACGAATTGAGATTCAGAAGGATAAAAAGAAAACAAAGAAAAAAAAACAAATGTCCAATTCAGAAAAAAACTGTGGTTAAACAGAAAAGAACATTAGAAGTTTCAGATTCGGAGAGCGAAAGTCCAGTATTGCAGGAAAGTGATACATCAGCAGATGAATGCGACGAAAGCGAATGCGTAGGATGTGGGGAAAATTATTTTAAAACCACTAAGAATGACGAATGGCTCAAATGTGTGAACTGTAGTCGTTGGTTTCATAATGGATGCTCAAAATTCGAGAATATTTGCGATATATGCGGAAAATTTAACAAGAGAAGTCGAAAAAATTAAATGTATTTATACGATTTAATTCTACCCTTATTATTATACTGTTCAAACATGTTTTATTATTTTATGTTTTCTTATTTTTCGAAGTCGATCTCACCCGTAGTTGGTGGTCGGTCTAACCCGGACATCCGGGTGAGATCGACCAGTTACAATGTTTAAACTTTTAGTTCAAAATAAACATTTATGTTTGTATTATATTTTAAATTGTGATTTATTTACTATCCTAACCCTTTAGGTAATGCGTCAACAGTTAAAAAAACGTGTACCTCAGAAACCAAAATATTTACAATATGTTTTCCAAAATGTGGTCGATCTCTCCCGGACTTACCCTAACGAAAATCCACAAGAGAGCTTTTTTATGTTGAAAAGTGCGAAGAATCAGTTTTTTTATTCAAAAAGTAAAAAATTGCACTAAGAAAAAACTTTCGGTCATTTCAATACACTACAGGTACAGTAGAGAGCGCCCTCTAGCGGCTACAGTAAAACTATGACCATGGTTCGTTTTGTCGTACCAAAAAACCCTTGCATACCAATTTTCACTGTTATACATCAAATATTCGAAATATTTAACAAAACTATTTTAGAAAGTAAATTTAAACACCCTGTATTTCGGAATCCACGCATTTTTCGACCCATGTTTATATAGACTTTATGCATTAATTTTAAAAGTTCTATCGAATCTTAAAGTTATGCAACAATAAACTGAAACACCCTGTATATACAGGGTGACTTTGAAGTTGAGTCATTAATTTTCAGATAATGATTGTAGAAGGAAGATAAACCAAAATATGTGTGTAAAAATAAAAAAAAAATTAAAAAAATGTTTACCTTGTTTTATAAAGTATCCTCCCGACAAGTATTTCAGTGCGGACCTGTATTTGATCGTGAGGTCCCCTGTGAGGTCTTAAGTCACCTGATTCACGAGCCCGTTGTACTACATTAACAAAGGCACGAGGGGTTGGTTGCACTCGATTGGGAAACCGATCCGCATAAACATGTGCCATTTTTTATTTCGTTTGAGCCACGCAACAGACACTATTCACACGCGACTGACACTGACTGTATGTATAACTGAACTGAATAAAATAATTGTACAAACATCGTTCCAAATTCTTTCGCTTTTTTGTTTCCGATGCGATGAACCGGTAAGGCGGATTATATCCGTTGTTGCCAAACACGAGCACATGATATTATTGAGACAGGGCGGTACTCAAACTTCCAAAGGGCTATAACTTTGTTACTTTAATTTTACCAGAAAAATGGTAAAGGAAAAAACATTTCTTTTGATCAGATCTACTCACTGTTAAAATAAATGACTCAACTTCGAAGTCAAATGAGACAAAAATATAGTTAATAAAAAGATTATTGAATAAAAAAACAGGGTCTTCGGGAAAGTTGGCAAAAATAATTTATGTAGGGGAAGGGGTAGTTTTCATCCTTCTCGAATATCAAGCCAAACATACCTATGTGTTCCAAATTTCATTCAATTGGGACTATCGGTTTTTAAAATATCTTAAAAAAACGTGTTTTGAAAAGAAAACTTTGAAGTCCTCCAATGAACAAACGAAGTACCTTTGCATAGAGGTAAGTCTAATCGACTTATTCTTAGTCTAAAAATAAATGGTACTACTATGTCCACGGAACATTGGACCCTGTAGAACTTAATAATGTTGAATAATAATCTGGATACCAGAGTCAATGCAGAATTTTCATTTTCAACAAATTTTTGCATACCCAAATTTGAGTTTTTCTTGAACTATTAGTTAATTTATTCTAGCAATTTTAAGCATACAGGAGTAGGAATAGGAGGGATAGCAGAGTTTTTCAAGAAGCTTGCTGCAAGGAAGGCATGGTGGGGTAACAATAGGTAAGGAAAAAATATAAATAAGTTATTTGGTTTAGATAACAGTTATATAGGATGTAAGACACCTAAAACAAACACATTTTTTTTTTCGTGCAAAATACTTAGAAGAATATCTAATATGATTTTTTTTCTCTGGATGTAGATGTTTTTGTTTATGTATTGATTGAAGTTTGAAACAGTCATTAACAAAACTATACTATAAGATAAAATCGCATCACAATTTTGATCCAGATGATGCCACACGCACAAGTTTTACGATACACCCTTTAAATTTCATCAAAAATCGAAGTTCTTTTGTGGAAATATATTATCATCTCATGTTTTTTTTGTACCTAGTCTACGGCTAAGTGTATATTTTCGATTTCTCTTGATATAGGTTGGTATCTATTCAGTGATAAAAACAGCTAAAATAAATAGGTAGGTGTGCGGCTATGGGATGGAGGGTGGTCTACAATTGTCTAGTGAAGTACCTCGGACATGAACCTTCTTGGGCAACTCTGGTGGTGTGAAAGTAGGAGGAGGGTGATGGTCATCTGTAAACCATAAACCAATCTCGCACATTCAACTAGTTCGTCAAGTCTAGTTTTTATTCATTTATTTTTGTGATCTCTAAGAGACTAATTTTACTGTTACTGCTAATATCACACAGCTCAACTATATGAAAAGTGCCAACGTTGCCATTTACACAATCTAAGATGCTTGAATTGTGTAATATTAAAAGCAACATACTGTATATACAGTGAAGGATATAGCAATAGATCTCTTGAAAATCATGGAAAACATCAAAGCAAACTGAATTTTAATAAAAATATATATCTACAGTTATAGAGTTTCCCTGAGATTTTCATGAGTTATAAATTATTTCTACACCTGTATATGTATTACTATGTAATTGTAACAAAAATACGTGCCCTGATATATACCATAGTAACCCTAAGAACAAATTAGTGTGAGGAAATTATACTAAGTGACATATAAATCCGAACACCCAGTTTAAATGGTTTTATTTTAATAAAAGTTTGTGAATGTATTTATCTTACTGTAAATAACAGTTGGACATTCCGGTTTTTATACTGCTTTTTTTAATTCACTAACGCTCTAAAAATGAATATTTCAGCCGCAGTAAAGAATCAACGTTGGCGGATTTTGGTTCTTGACATCCTTTAAGATCGGTTACGATGCCTAGAGTACGATTTCGTCAACTGAGTGAGTTTGATAGGGGCCGTATAGTGGGACTTCGGGAAGCTGGACTTTCTTTTCGGGCAATTGCAGTTAGAGTGCAAAGAAGTGTAGACACTGTGGTTAGGTGTTGTCAGGCATGGCTTCCGGAAGGCCGTACGCAAAGAGCAAGGGTCACTGGACGCCGCCGTAGAACAACAGACCGTGAAGATCGCCGAATAAGATTATTGGCCTTAAGGGACCGTTTCTCCACTACCAGGTCCATTGCAAATGAATGGTTTGCAGAACACGGAAGATCTATTGGTATGCGAAGTGTTTACCGACGAATGAGAAGTTTTGGCTTGTTTTCATACCGGCCACACTGGGTCCTCCCTTTAACTCGAGAACACCGACGTAATCGCCTTGAGTGGTGCAGACAACGGTCACTCTGGGATCAGGAATGGAACAGTATTGTCTTTAGTGACGAGTCTCGATTTTGTTTAGGCATGCACGATGGTCGTGCCAGGGTTAGAAGGCGACGTGGTGAAAGGAGGAACCAACAGTTTTTTGTTGAAAGACATGTTCATTACACTGTTGGAGTTATGGTTTGGGGTGCTATAGCTTATGGTTCCAGGTCACCTTTAATCTTCATCAGAGATAACATGAACGCGCAGCGTTATATCCACGAAGTTCTAGAACCCCATCTTTTACCCTATCTTGACACCCGGGCAGATCCAACTTTCCAACAAGATAATGCCCGACCACATGTTGCAAGAGTCACAATAGACTTCTTTCAACATAATGATGTCACATTGTTACCATGGCCACCAAGATCTCCCGACTTATCCCCAATTGAGCACGTGTGGGATATGATGGGTAGGAGAGTGCTCAATTTGCAACGTCCTCCTCAGACTCTAGAAGCACTTCGAGAGGAGTTGGTGGTTGCCTGGAATGAGATACCACATTAGGACATTGACCACCTGATCAGAAGCATGCCTAGGCGCGTTGGAGAATGCGTAGCACATCAGGGTGCATCCACACATTATTAAAGATCAAATGGCTTTAAAGCAGTGCAATCATTTTGAAATTTTTATCATTTACTTATTATGCTTCATTAAGTACTTATACAAAATTTTATTAAAATAAAACCATTTAAACTGGGTGTTCGGATTTATATGTCACTTAGTATATTTATTCGTTTGATGAGAATATAAGAATAAAAATTTTAAAATGTTAATTTTCATAGAATTCTATCTTCTGGCACGTACTTTGGTGTAAGTAAAACTTAATCAGCATTAATCTATAGCTAAAGTTATCATACTATTAGGTGTACATCTATCTATTTATTCTAGTCAGGATGCACATGCCTTTTACAATACAGATGGGGGCTGTCAAACGTCAAATTCATGCATATATGCACACATTTACGAAAAATAACATTGCATGCATACGGAAATTGGTGAAAATCACATCTGTAAGATAATCGGAAGTATTTACAAAGAAAGTAAAAGGTGAGAAAAGCGGCGTACATTTTTTTCGAAGTGTTTGCGTTGATATTCTAGTTTGTTTCGATACGATCGGTGTTTTATGCTTTTTATTTTTGTTTGACTTACTTGGAAGAGGACCGTCCATTTCACCTGCGCATATTACAATATGTATTTTTTGGAAAAAAGTGTAAAAGAGTCAGGAAACGATAAACACTGTTTTTAAGTGGGAATTTTAAGCTGCTTCTTGGTTAAAAACTGATATCTTAAACTGATTTTTAATCTTTCTGATGATTTTGATAGTTCTACTGATTTATATCTCCAATTTTTGAATAAAGAATCGTAAATTTTTCTCTTCAATCATGAAAAAAACTGTAAAATTTCGAAATCACTAAATATTCTAGCTTCTTCTACAGACAGCTTATGCTTCCCAGCTGATTCTATGAAGTTTTAGGTCTGTTTTAGAAAAATATTGAAATTTGGATAAAACAAATTTTTAAATCATGCCTAATATTTGCAAATCAAAAAATCTATATTTTATTTACACGTAGGTATTTGTAAAATTATGTACGTATATAGGGATATAATTTCGGAAATACGAGTTCGTTGATCACAAAATTGAGCTAATACCAAAATGTTTTGTAGAATTTATCGATCTTTTATATATGAAACAGTATATTGTTTCATACCTGTGTTAATTGATGTTAAGGGAATTCAGATACTCAATTTTGCGATGCAATATATAAATGCCTAAAAGTTTTCTAAACACATCACTATACCTGAAAGTATACATCAAACTAACACATATATTTATATCAATAATCATTTCAAGCTATAGTAAAAGCCGAGTAAGTTTGAGTAGATTCTGTTTCAAAAATAATTAGTACAAATATTTGTTCTCTTTATAAAAAATAGCTGAAATGCTAAGGAAAGCAGTGTCTGTAGTTACAAAAACCCGCTATTGTGGAAAATTCGGAAAACAAATGTGCTAAAAACCCAGATACATTCACAGATGTTTTGTGATAGTTGGGAGGTTTTGGAAACGATATATCGATACTCAACGCTTATTACCGCTGATTAATGTATTCTACCTGATGATAGTTCATAAAAGATTAAGTTCAGCACAAGTTAAACCCTCTGAGAAAAAACTTAGTTACGAACATATACAATATAGAAATTAAGGGGAGGAGGAGTCGCGTATCGAAAACATTTCTCATCATTCTAAGTTTTAAAGACAAATGTACGGGGAAACCTATGTGTGTGAAATATGGTTAATAGATGCTTAGAATTACCAGCAGAAACGGAAAGTAGTTTTATGAGCAAACTGAAAAGGATACAAAAAATCTGTTTTTTGGTAACCTTGATATATTACTAGTGCATATTTTGAAAGTATTTTAATATATACAGGGTGTTCCATAACTTCTTGGCATAGCAAACATGTGTTTTCTCAAATAGGATACCTTATATTTTATTGCGTATTTAGAAAAAAAATATTGAAAAAACTACAAAGCGTAGGGAAGATGATATATATTTTTAATAAAGTAGACACATGGGAATTTTATTTTTTAAAAATAACATCACTGAGATGTGAGCGATCGAGACGTATGCACTCCTGCAATCCTCTGAAGTTGTGGAAAGAAAAAGTGACGTAGCATTGCTGTGTAGCGAATAAAATTTACTGTTACAGTCTGCCCTTGCTTGTTTTCGAAGAACTGGGTCCGATGATTCCTTAAGCCGATATGGTCGCTCTAACTGTAAAGCCATGTACAGATATGTAACAGCACCGTGAACCGAACCACGCGACAAACCGCGCCGCGCTAGTGTACAGTATATTCAGATAAGAGATAGACCGGACATAAACAAGACCACGTGATCATCGAACGCTGTAACATTCGGCAGGGACGTATTAAGAGTCACGCAGTACATATTTTAGATAGTAGATGCTGCTTTGCGTAACTTTGTAGTAAATTAGCACAATTCGATGTGTATACGATTGGTGATGGATATAGGATCATGTGGGGGTGGGGTAAGAAATATATAATGATGTAAATATACATAAGGGTTTCAAAATTTTCGCTTCGATTTCCAGCTTCGGATGCCGCCTGATGTTTGGTGAAATACAGTCGAATATAATCTCAAAATGGCGTTTAAATTAGCATAAATTAAAAATAATCGTATATCTCTTAAAATTGCTTTTAGAATATTGATTAGTATATTTTTTGATTTCTAGGTAAATATGTAACCAAATTAAAACGTTCAAAACGTAAAAAAATGTGCATGGTTGAACATTGTCAGAAAGTAGATTCTTGAATAGGTTTTGCCAAAATGGGTTCAAAAATGTCAATAATTAATTAAAAAATA